TTTTCATATAAACAGAAATCGTAAATTATTATTTAATTCCTATTTATAACGTAGGTGACATAATATCTTCCGACGTTATTTTTTTGTATTTCTAAACCCCATCGTAAAAAAAATATTTTTACGATGGGGATTAGAAATGTTACTAATATACCCTTTACCTGTGTATTTAGCTATGGTATTGTAGCTTTAAAGCGGATGGACCGATTCCGTACGGTTTTTTTATTTATTTGATAACTGGTTTTGTTGGCACAGTTTAGTGAAAATCAGACCATCCTTAATAGCCGGTATCGAAGGCATCTGATTGAATATTTTATTCTAGAAAATTAAGTACGCATTAAAATATTCTGACACAAAAGTTTAATATTTAAAATATCGGAACCGATGTTGCAGGTAACATTCTCAAATATAGACACGATAAATATGTTATTAAATGAAATTGTGTTACTTATATTTATATCTGTGAATTCCAAGATAAACTTCATTATCATGTTACGATATCCTCCTGAGAGTTTAGATTTAAAAGTAAAAGGTAACGCTGAATATGAGAACAACAGGTCTTAAGGTCAATGCTGAGTATAATCTAGAAAGTAATGATTGAGATAATCATATAAAATGTAATACTTTTATATAACTAATACCTTTATAATGCTATCTTAATTCGTAAATAAATAATCTTGAACATAATTATTACATAGTGTTTGGCACTATGTAATAATTATGTTCAAGATTATATTATTGTATAAGTAATCTACATATACGCGCCCAACGGGCCAGTAATGATAGTCACCTCCTGTAAAGAAATATGTAGTAATACAATTAGAATGGTATAAACATACATAATTTTGTTTTATAGTTTTTGATTAGAGAAAACTAAAATAAACTTTAAATATACTAATATAAAGAGTCTCTCAACACATCTGTAATACAAAACAACTTACTTTGTAAAGTGAGGCAGTATATTACTCAGCTATATCGCCAAATTCGACAACTAATCATCAATTTAGCAGTACACTGGCTTTCTTCGACGTGGCATTGCTCATAGACGAACAGACAGACGTGACTACTTTTTATCAGATATCCCTCTCTATCTATCGGTGAAACAATATATGAGCAGGTAAAATTTAGTAATTATATTGAACATTTTCTCGCTTGAAAATTCTTTAATACTCATTTGAGAATTAATGGATTTTTGGGCATGTTTGTACCATTCATTAGATTATAGAATATCTGAGTACTATGTTAACTCCTTAGATTTTAAATAAAAAATAACTATACCTACACATAAATAACAATCGAAATGTGGTGTTCGTAATTACATCGTTCTTGATGTAATTTGAGTGCACCACATTTCGATCTCAGTGTTACCCGATACCGTATAAACTAATATAATTCACAGTAATAAGTAGTTCACACTAAAAATAATGCAAACATTTAGAACAAACGACTAAAACATAGAAAACGAAAGTGATCACACGCAAGCCGTTCACGCAGCGCGTACGCTCGTAAAAACTGTTGTGGAGTATATCGGATATGCGCGGGCGCAGTCCGGCACGCACCAACACTAGTTACTACCGACACACTATTGATTTGTTAATAATTACATAATTGCATTAGAAATATGCTATGCTAATATACCATATCAGACAAATAGATATTCATTGTTTGTCTGTTTAATAAAATATTGATTGATAAAATACAGAAACAGGAAAAAATATTTTCGTTCCTGTAAAATTTTCATATATTTTTCTTTATTTCTGTACATGTTATATAATATATCGATATAACAGTGGTATATTTAAAAAATAATAAAAGATTCAATAATAATATTAATGTAAAGATGTTTCAACAATAAAATAGTCTAAGTAGTTTCTATTACACAAATGCCATCACAAAACCACTGAAAATAAATGGTCGAGATAAAAGAATAAAGTTCAAAAACCACACAAACGAGTACGTGAATGTCGCCATCGCCTTTGTTTACTTTGAAAACTCAGTACTGTCAATAACAAAAGTGAATTATATATACATAATAATAATAATATACAATATATACACATTATGAGAACTCTTAAATACACCGTTGGAGTCCATTTTTAAAATATCTATACCATCCAATTTATATGCAAACCTAATTTAATATAAAATACATATAGTTATTTTATACAACCTAGCCAATTTACGAACGTGCACAAGTTACACCTACATATATATAAAAATACATGAAATAAATATTTCAGAATTATATTGCTATGATATACATACATAAAGTCATAAAATATTAGAACACTTTTTTTCATTATAAAGACTGTTGTCATTCTGACTGTACTACCATAAACTATTCCTTTGAACAATATTTGTAGTTCAAACCAAACTTATTCTCAAATTTCTCCCATCTAGCGTGAAAAAATCACATCATCTTATTTTTATTTAAATCTAAACAATGCAATGGTATACTCTCGAATTGCCTGTCAATATTATATGCTTATTTATGTTAAATACGATTACATGTATATATTTTCATTACCTGCATCTTATAAATCTCTAATTAATGTATAACAAAGTCTTTGTTTTCCTGTTATAAGAGAATGTATTGTGTCTATAAAGAAATATAGTTCTACCACATATTACATATGACATAATATTACATAGTTCTACCACAGATAAGTTCGACTAAATCACGCAACAGATTTTGATACGGTTTTCACTATGACTTAAAAATTTTCTTCCGGATAGTATATGTATAAGACATACAACCATATCACATACTAGTATACTCTACACCTATCTAAAATGATTATTGTTTTAATTCATAAACTCATTTATATAGACACCTATTCGAGAATTAGAGTACAACTCTACATAAAGACAAACGAAGTTAAGTATATATCGTATGCTTATAAAATATGTAAAATCCGATTTACTATCCCTTACCTAAAGAATGCTTTAAGTATAAATAGCTCTTCAAATCCCTTCATTTACACAAGCATAAAAACGCAGCCATTAAAAGCAAGACGTAAAATTCTTTCCCTGTTAGCTTTTGTAAAGATAAACTTGACGTTATCAGTTAATTTTCCTTAAAAAGTGTTCACTGTTTGCTGTAGGAAGTCTTTCGTTAGTCATAACGTTTGGTGACATAGTGCTATTTTTAACGAGTCATCAAAAGGCTTTCTAGATACACGAAGTAAAGAGTGAAGTGCCTGATGATGACGCTTACGTCAACTGGTATCGTAAAAAAACATAACAAATCCGAGTCGGACTAGTACTACAATGATTCCGTACAGATATTGTAATAATATTTTTTATTCTGTAAATGTAAATAAGAGACAGAAGTGAATGATATCAGATTATGTATGTGCTACACAGAATATACTTTGTTCACCTGTATTTATTCTCCACAGAAAATGTAATGTGTATAAATAAGATCAACTTAAGAGGATTATCCTAAAATTAATCCCATTTATGTATTTTTTATGGGTAATAGTACTGTATAAACAATACCTTAAACTATTTTAAATAAAATGCATTGTGCTTATGGTTACTGAATATGATATATGACTGCTGTGTGACAGACTGTTACAAAGACAATCGGGCGAAATAAGTTCCTTTTACGGCTTTTATGTACGGAACCCTAATAGAGACACAGCTGGGTAATTTTACGAGCTTTTAAGAAAAGAATTTGTTGACTACTGTAGATAAACACTGTTTATTACGAAAAGGACCATCCACAAACGTTCTACTAATTTCAAAAAGTCATAAGTAAGCATTTCAAATGGAACAGAGGTAAATAACGACGAAATAAAATATTAATCTAGTAGAATACTTATGATAGCATTCATTCATAATATACCGATCTATACATATAATCTAAAACGTAATAATATGATATGTAATAATCAAATACAATAATACCTGAGTATTTACCCTAAATACATGTATACCTATGTATGTAGAGTGAATATTCAAAATTAATAGAGTTCGAAATTTAAAGCTGTCTATCTATATCTCTAGTGCGGCCGTCGCAATCATAAGAAAAAATAATATTCATTCGTAATTTTCTTCAATGAACAGTATCGACATAACGATGGTAGGTAATGTCGTCCTCATCAAGATTGTAGACTTATCTATGAAATCTAATTACAAATGGAAACCATAAAATTTAAAAACACATCTATCTTTGTCATTACATGGCGCAATATAAAATTATAGATGCGTAGGCGCTGTGGTCGCTGACCAAATTCCGGGCATGTATTTTTTATGTAATTGGTTCCGAGATCGATTCTCAGTTGCGGTTATTTATCTTGGTACTACGTCAAATTTTTTATAAGTATAAATTAGTATTAACTTAATAATATTAATTTATCACTAGTACATTAAATATTAGGGTATCCTTTCAAAAATTATATATCCTTTATAAGATATGTGATAGATGTATTAGTACTAAAAATAAGTTATACTTAATTAATCTTACTAATACTACAAACGAGAAAGTGTGAATATAGATGAATGATGTTTACTCTTTCACGCAAATGATACTGAACGAATTTTGATGAAACTTTACAGCTTATACTTCAGAATAACACAAGTTATAAATTTTATGCAGATGAAACCGCGGGCTAACCACAGCTAATAAGCTATACAATCATTTCTAATTCAATTTAAATCGTTTATGTATACACAACAATACATATTTACCTATCTCACATAACATACAACTTATATAGCCATAAATATCCAAGAGCCGGCAGATTGACAGCGAAAGAAGATGATTAAACCGGCTTTTTTAAATGTTAATACTACCTTTATTTATTTATGTGAGTTATATTACCTATAATATTCTAAAATAAGCAACGTTGAAATAACGAACTAGGTATATCCAATCGAATTTATTTTGAATAAAACGGCGATGATATACTTATTAGCTAAACAGCCTCTTATATCAGAGAATGAAATAAAAAGCTTATATTCACTCATTATATTAATTAAAGATATGAATTACTCACCGACGAGACCATGATCTTTGCTTATCTTATACAATTCCTATCGTCTATTTGATCATCACTCAACTTTCACCAGAAAACCTAAGGGTCACTTTACATGCCGATAGTCCAAGATTCTCTTATCACTCGTCCCATAACTGATAACACAAGCTCGCACTTATAATAACATCGCAGCGTGCAATCGGTTCGAAAGATGCAGATCAATAGCTGCTCGAGTAAAGCACGAAAAAGTTAGTTCCCACGTGAGAGAAATGCGCGTGCGCGGACAATGGTGGAGGCTGCGCGCGAGTCGAAAGGTGGGCAAAAAGCGAATGAGCGCAGGCGTGATGCGCACACCACGCAGCCACGAGCGGGAGAGCCTGATAGACTCTATACCTACCTGCTGACCCATTTCAAAATACACAAATTCCGTGACGTCATTATGGAATTTTAAGCCCCTACTTTTGTGGCTCATTCTATTTGGACATTTCTTCATAGATACAAGTTTAAAAAAAATATCCTCATCGTGGGTACTGCATTAAAAAAGCACATAACTTTGTTTTAACTTTGGATTTTGATTATTATGAGCAGTGGGACGTTACTATGTTGCTTTGATTTTTCAGTATGATTCCGAGGAAGTGTGTGGATTGATTGACAATTCAGGAATTCTCAGTTAGATTCCAGCTCTGCAATTTTCATCCGTGTATATAGTATAAAATGCAACAGAAAAATGTAAACAATGTAAAGCTAAAGAATAATATTTTTTTATGGTAAACTCTGATACTATAATACAACCACAATATACCAAACGGGTATAGCCCTTGACTCTATGATTCTTTTGTAGATGCAATTACAATTTTTTTATCCTTTTTCGATGCCCACAAACCTGATCACAAACATGTCGTGACGTCAGATAAGATTTCAAGAATTCATTCTAGATCACTTTCTAATAGTATATTTTAGAATTAATGTTATGTAAGAAAGTAGATAAAATATTCTTCGAAATTATATTTACTTATTTTACATAACCAGCTCCAAACTAATAGATAGAAAAATATAATAAAATAGGTATAAATAGGTATTTTCCCTAGATACCATCTAATAACATTTTCATAATTTAATATACACACTGGACTCCTTAAAACCTGGTGGGCCTCTAACGGGTAAGTTTTTCTCTATTTTTAAACATTGTAATTATATTTTGTTTAAGTCAAGGTTTTCTATATTGCGTATCATCAATACAAATAAAAAAGATTGAAGTCTCTACTTGTAATTTCTAACCAACAGATTTTCGCAGAATGCATATGAAAATATATACATATTTTTGCATGTCTGTCTGTTTGGACGTTCACTTGCAAATAGCCAATGGCATTTATAAAAAAATATCTTTATATATGTGTGTATAATAGCTTTAAAGCAATTTTGGAAACTTCCATACAAAAACTCAAAGATCATAATTAAGATGCACTACAAGTTTGTTGCACGTAGAGGGTAAAATAAGAATAACGAATAATAGAACTGAAATATCCTCTTACTTACTATAAATTCCAGAGGAGTCAAGACACAACCTATAATAACGAGGAGACTGTTTGTTGTCTGATCATCATTTCAGCCCGGAAGACGTCCACTGCTGAAGGCCTCCCCCAAAAAACTCTACGATGATCGGTCCTGCGCTGCTCGCATCCAACGTCTTCCAGCGATCTTGACCAGATAGTCGGTGCACCTTGCTTGGAGGCTTTCTCACGCTGCTCTTTTGGGTGTTGTCGGATAGAGAAGTCATATGACTTCTCTATCTTCAGAATCTTCGATAAGAATGTGAATAAAGGAATCAAGTAGCACTCTGTTATTTCTGTGTAAACATACAGGATAGACAATAATACCAACCTATTAAATAAAACTATTTCTAAACAATACCTGTCATCAATCATTTAACACATACTTAGGTAATCCAATATATCAATGTATAAATCCAATTATGCACTAAATAATAATAATCTTCCGCAATTATTAACGGAAGAAATGATTGCGGCATAAAGTAATCGTGCGTATATTTTCAGTGTAGACATAAATTGTTAGTTTACATGCGATATTTATTTCTGAAATCTAACTAAATAAGTTAGTAAGTGAATAAACAAATAACTTATGGTAAAAGGTATAGATGCAAAATATTATATAACCGTTGATTATTAGATATTACAGTATCAAAAATTTGTAACTAATAAGTGGATAGTTATTATTCGGAATATTAACCATATTATGTCCTTTCTGTCCATCATCTGCGAGATTCTCTTTCTTCCTTTTCTGCCATACCTACAGTTTTGCAGGCAATATTTGTAAAATTTATAGACTAAGTTATTCTTAGTGCGTGTATAATAATATAGATACAATAGAATATTTTATGATGTAATATATAAAAATATCTCAAGAGAATTCACACAGCGCCATCTAGTCTCAAGCTAAGCAGAGCTTATATTATGGGTTAGACAACTGATATAAATACGTGGATAGTTTTTTGTAAATAAATACGCATTATACATAGAAAATACCCAGACTACAAACAATCACACTCATGAAAACAAACATTTGTATCATGCGAGGAATCGAACCCGCAAAAGTAAAGCGGTGTGCTAAATCGGATTGCCATCGTGGTGTGGTGTAATTATGACTATGGGCGATAGTCGATAGTTATTCGCTAGGAATTCAGCCATCCAATTATGTAGTATTCCAGTCACAGAAAATTGTAATTCAATAATTTATGTATAAAATTATAATTTAGTTTACTCTTATTTTCACTGACACCAATTTACTGAAAGTATTACTAATTTGCACCCAAAATACTACCAAGGTGAATCTAGGAAATATAAAATTTTAATCTGTTTCAGCCAAGAAATAAAATTATTTACGCAAAGGAATAATATAAATATATATGTATATATCTACATATATCGGAAGTTACCTAAATAGCAAATTCACCTAATTACCAATACATTACAATTGAGAATCAATAATATCATTGTCACATAATTAGGTCCCAGGTATCTGAAAGATTCTATATATGTACACAGTTACTTTTCTAAATAATACAACATTTGATTATTTTAATAGTTTTAAACAAAAATTACAGTTGCGTTCGAACTGCAACGTATTGCGAAACATTATGGTTTGGTATTCATGGATAATAACAATGTTATTCAGTGAAATTGTTAAATTTCAATGAGCACATACACGTCTTATTTACCAAGTAGATGCATAACAGACTTTCGTAAACTAAATATCATTCAGTACACGTTTATAAATGAAACAGAATCCACTTTAAGGAAAACGTTTGCATAGAGATTCGTGATCTTATTCCGTTATTACTTGTAAATTAATGTAAGTTATATAAACTTGTATTTAGTCTAAAAGGAACACTAACGGAAATCTGGTTTTGTTGCATATCCGTGTATATGATTTGCTGTCAAGGAACTTTATACCTATAGATAAAATTGCATAACGATAAAACGCAATTACTTATATAAATGGTAATAACACAGGTGATAGAGACTTGTCTAATAGCTTATAACAAGGAAAATAATTTTAAAAGAAAAGATCTATATTTTGTGATACTGTTTTATTATGGTAAATGATCCTTTAATCATAACAAATATCGTTTTATGTTCGTATGTTATGTATGTTCATATGTGTATGTAACAGGCAATAAACTACTCTTATTGCCTGTAACATACTCAATTAAAGAGTAGGTAACATCTATATTACGCTATACAACTTAACTTTCTAAAACGAATTTTGACATTTATTTTCACAATCGATAACATTGTTCTCATGGTTCTTATTTTTTGTTAATTAGCAATTCTTCTTATATACCTTATATCTACAAATACTAGTAGCATAAGTAGCTAATTACTGCAACATTAAATTGTTAAAATTACATATGATATGATAAATATGTTTAAAGTTTGTATCAAAATATTTTAGTTAGGTATAACATCGCTTTATTTATATTTGGATATAACTGACGCAAGTGAAACTGCGAACATTTGCTGTTTCATGAGACGTACAGAATATAACGTATTTAAACACCTACTTCCAAATCAAATCACGTAAATTGTGTCTTGTTTCTATTCAAGTTGCGTAAGGTGCACCCAGTTGCATTTACTCCCGTTGAATGCGAGACTAAGACGGTCGTATGTTGAATTGTCTAAAAAAATTTAATTAACTGAGCCTTACAAAATACCTGTTTCATAACATTTTTTTTTTATAAAATAATATTGTATCTGGTAGATTTTCTTCTATTTCATAAGGGAAATATCAATTGCAATTGACGCGAAGACGAGTGAAAGCGATTTTTAATAGATACACAATTACTCACATAAGTCACATGGTAACTAATGTTATGAACGAACAGAGAACTACATAGAGTAGTAACAATGTTATTTTTCTAACAATAGAATTACTGTATTGATATTGCATTAATTAAAGATAAACGTATATCGAGCGAATAATTTCGTATCGTGAGATTTCACAAGTTTGTTACTGAATACTACTATTACATATAAGCATGTACTTATACAAAATATCAAGTATCTACCACCAGCACTTTGTGATACTTATATTAGTATCTGATAGGGAATATAGATTTGCACGCAATTTTACTATGTCATGTAGCACTCCGTTATTAATTAAGTAACGTGAAAATAAGTAAGTTTAGACATTAGAAAATGAGATTAACTTTCAAACATTTTAGCTACATTTAAAAACGATCTACCTGCTTGATGGACCCTAATGAAACGATCTTATTAACATTTCTCAATTATAACTGATAAAAATCTACGATTATGCAGTTGTCGCTACTACTCTCAACTGGTTCGTACAAAACATATTAAATTGGGTGAAATTGACCGAATTTAATACATTACAATGAGAATTAATAGTAACGTCTTTACGTAATTAGGTCCCAGGTATCTAAAAGGTACTAATATATCCAGTTACTAATAATAATAACTAACTTTTTGACTAATACAAGATTTGAGTATTTTAATGATTTTAAAACATAAATACACGTTACTAAAATATTTAGTAATTTTTCAATTCAGTACAAAACTGCAAAAAGGAATATAGAATAGAATATTATTTTTATTCATTGTTTTCTTAATGTGTCAATATCAGAGATGTGGTCTGAGTGGAGACTGATCCCTCATGCTACTGTCTAAATTTAAACATAAAGTATTATTGTAATAATAAGAGATAACTATAAGAGCTATTCCATTCCATTGTTAATTTACGGAAGTAGCAATTAAGAAGCATGGCATTGAAACAATAATAACTCCGGGAACAGTCTCATACTGTTTTCCCTGATATCGGCGTAAGTGCTTTCTCTTAGCACCCATAAAAATACGTCTTTTACCATCTATGAGTAGAGCACAATTTGGTACAGCAAACTGTATTCAGAATCTGTGGGTATTTGGATGATTTGCCAGACAAATTTGACCTTGATTCCCAGCTATGAGATCTGACTCTCGACATCCATTGTCTGATTTCATTCACTTTTTACTAGCAGTTGCGATAACATCACCTTCTTGACGCCTTTGCCTTTGTTATAGTTACAACTTGTGATAGTTGTAATATATAAATGTATGTACTTTTGTTCATTACAATAGGATTTATGGTGTAATTTGTATATTTATGTATACGGAAGATGGGATATTATTGCATTGATAGTCCTAACATAAAGCCAAATCCACAGACAGACAAAATTATCTACTGTTCAGTAGTTAAACAGTAGATAATTTGATTGTGGGCCAACTTGATATATTATATATGTATGTAACTAACATTGCGCCCCAACTTCGCACGGATATTTAAATTAATTTTCACAAAACCTTAACACATTATCTTTCTCGGGAATCACTCTATTAATAGATGAGATGAAAACCTTTTCAATAGATTTTACAATGATCCCGAATATACAGATTCATGCGTCATGGGACTTTGTAAAAAATATAGTATCATGTGACATTTGATAAATAATACTATCGACCGCACAGGTACCACTATCATAGAAACTTTTAGTATGTTTATTCTATAGATATTTTTTTTAATTGCGTAATGTTTTTCGAGTTTATCATTTATAAACAAAATCCAAATAATTCCTCTTTACTACTTCAGTTTACAAAATAATACAGTGTCAAAGTAGCATGTCAACAGAATAAAATTTAATAACTATAAAATTTAATTCATATTCATGTCTGTTTACATTAACACAAATATTATATTTTCGCAATTTATATTTATTAATTATTTCACGTTTTCCTTTAGCGTTGAAACATATCAAGTACGTCGAGTGAACGAATCTTCTTTCTTAGTTACAAGCATTCCAGAATTCAATTATGAGAATTACAAACAACATTTTCTTAACGATCATAAGAGAACCATGAATATAAACAATCAGAAAATCCCTCCTTATGCAAGTATAAATGAAATTTTATACGCTACAGTAAGTACAATTGTTGGCGATAAACGTGAAAGAATAAAGATACCAGCATCATTTATAAATAAAGCTAGAGAAAACTATTTCAAGACATTTTATTCTACTATGAAAAAAACAGTGGCCAATCCGAGCTTAGTACCAGAAAATTTACAAACTTATACCAATATGACGAGAAATAATGTTAATGTTAAATATTCAGAATCCAAATTAAGTGACAATCTACAAAAAGCAAGAAAACTTGTGAGCCTCCTAAGTGCCCAATCACATTGGAATTACTCTACTAATGTTAACACCAGTTTACATAATTACATAGTGAGAAGTGCAAAAAATAAACACGACATAGGACATAAGAGTTCCGTTACATGAGTGTTGCTTTAGAAATTGACAACTTTTTATTAAAATATTATACAAATACCTAATCGCGGAGTTTTAACTTCAGCATTAGTAACGCTATAAATCTTTTTATTTCCTTAAAATAACCACTATTAAGATCTATAAAAAAATATAATAAACAGGAAACTGATTTCAGTTGGATTATATAAGCAAAAGTTACTTCATGAACAAATGCAATTTTTTATAAACCAAGTTAACTAAGTGTACCTATACTAAACTGTAATATTTTAATTTTTGTTTTCTGGTAGTACATATATATTTACACAAAACAGTCTGTGAGATAAAGCTGTGTGTGAAATTAAAAACACGGTTATACTCGCTTCAAATATTTATCTCTGTTTAAACAAATAACATAGATAAATGATCAAATATGGTCGGCTTTATCTTCAAAAGGTCTTGACATTCTTTACTGAGTTTTCTTCTTAATATTATATAGAACAATAATGATAATGAAGAAAATGTCAATATATGTATTTCAGTTTTAATCACTTATTCACAAATTACATTATTTAATCTGTTAAATCACTTGTTACACTATAATGATTCTACACAGTATTATTGTATTAGGTACACGTATATGTAGTACTACAAAATTGCTGTGTAGGACTAAATACTGACGGAGAAGGGCATGTGTAATTATATCCATAATATGTCCCATTGGATGCCTCTATACACAAGTAATATGTCTGACAAGTGGGGTCCGCTGAATCAGGAAATCTTCCAGTTGATGTGCAACTAAAGGGAACAGGACAATTGTAGTCAAATACGCAGAAAGTCGTATTTGGATCAAAATAAGTATTATCCGGGCAAGTTTCATTACTTTCGATAAAACTGTTACCGACTTCTATACATTGTATGTAGCTGGTGCAATTAGTAGAATCAGGATCGGCGATGAACCCGTTTTCTGTACAGAGGGAAGGAATGGCAGTAGTAGTAGGCGTAGTTGTAGGAGTAGTTGTAGGAGTAGTTGTAGGAGTAGTTGTGGGAGTTGTGGTAGGAGTCGTAGAAGGAGTCGTAGTAGGAGTTGTAGTAGGAGTCGTAGTAGGAGTCGTAGTCGGAGTCGTAGTAGGAGTAGGTGTAGTAGTGGGAGTAGTAGTAGTTGTAGGAGGTGGAGTAGTCGTTGTTGTTGTAGTTGTCGTCGTAGTAGTAGTAGTAGTGGTGGTGGTGGTATCAGCAATGGTTACGTTACAGACATAATTATCAGACGCAGTGCATTGAGAAGTTGAAGGGTCGAAAACGGAACTAGTAGGACATACGTAATTGTACGAGAGGTAAGTTCCCGAGGTACTATCGTAGACACAGAGAGTGTAGTTTTGACAGGTAGTATCGTCTGGATCAGGGTGTCGGCCGGCTCCACTTACTGTACAGTCGACTACAGCGTACGCTTGCCATGCTAAACAAAGAATCTATAAAGCAAAAAATAACAAAATTTCTCAATAGTTCTCCAAAGGATGCAAGAAGTCTAATGTTAATATGTGATTGTTTACATGCCTATACTGAAATAGATTAACTTTCTTGATATAATATTCATGATTTCGTCCAATCTCAAGTCACTGTTGAACATAGGAGTCCCTCTTGGACCAACATAAGGAACAGTCTAACGACACCACCCTCGTTATATCGATTCCGATTTAACTATATTTCATTAATATGTAAAGTAAATTATATGATCTTCAGTTAAATGTTTAATGAAGTTCACCTTATTTACCGCTTCAGTAGTTTAGTTGAACAAAAAAAACTAATGCTCACATTCACTGGCCTACACATCAATAATTTCATAGAATTTATATAAGGATCAATATCATAAATAAACGATCACTGAGGTATAAGAAATCACAACTTACAAGATATGCACGAATGACTAGGTTATGTGCCATTTTCTTTTCTACTTATGTAATATTTTGCAGACAATGTCCTTTATATAGCAAGAAAATTTAATATCCCTAATTAGATATTACTTGGATTTTATAGTTTAATTGTACATTATCACTGTTTGTATCAATATAATAATGTAATCATTTTGTGACATACTAAGAAAAGTTGTTTGGTTTGATGTCATAATTTTCTATTCTATTTAGAGGATTATGATATCGCACATCCCGTGTAAAAAGGCCGCAACTACACTTGCGTCAAAAATGTTTTATTACATAAATAAAGCGAGCTTCACGGTTTACACCTTCTGTCAAAATCTCATGAAGCTATCGACAAAAATGAAGAAATAAATGCAAAAATACTAAAATTTTGCGACTTTAGAAAACATAAAATTCCAGCATAAAATAGAGGTATGCGTATTTGCATTTATTCGCTTTACAATTATCCCGCTCATAAAGTCATAATTGTATTTACGTAAATTTTAAAAGAAGATTTACAAAAAAATGTTTAACGCAAATATACTTAAATACTTGTTCCTATATCTTACAATCTAGGACTATTGTGTAATTCTAATTACTTACTTCTTCTACGAAACTTTTAGCTGATAGTTTATGTGTGATTATTGTTACATACTTTTCCCCCAGCAAAACTTCACAATGCGTAAAGTGTAGTTGTAGTTACTTCTTTATTACACGTAGCATTTCATACCTGATGTTGGGTAATTTTAAATACAGCATGTATTTACAAGAAGAAAAAAAATAAGAATATGTTCATGTAATTAAAATTAAGTAAAAAATAAACTATTTTTAGCTAATTGTATAAGCTGACGGGCACCAATGATGGATGATAGGAGGAGCAGGAGATCAGATGCATTTGCCAGGAATAGTAATAATAAATGATAGAAAAATCGATCTGCTTTTAGACATTTACCATAGAAGAGCGAATTGATAGAAGTGTATATAAAAACAATAGATAAAAAGAATACTTCTATTTTAAATATGGATAAACGAATATACAATTGCCAGTGAATCTTATTGTAGGTCTAACAGGAATTAACTAACGATGGTTTCCAGGATGGACCGCGTGGAACTAAATGTACCTTATATTGCTAGCAATAATATTCAATATTAATTCCCACTGGTCATAATAGGTACACATACAATACTAGCTGGTCCCGCAAACGTTACTTTGTTATAAATTACTAGCTGTGTCCGCGTTAAATTTCAATAAAAAATATATCCTGTGTTATTCAGATGCATAAACTATATTAGTGTAAAGTTTCGTAAAAATCTATTCAGTAGTTTTTGCGTGAAAGAGCAACAAAGATCCATACTTACAAACTTTCACGTTTAGAATATTATATTAAGATTAAGATTTCTGAAAACTATTAAAGTACTAATCATCATAATTTCAACTTTTGTCTATCCACAGTTGGATATAGGCCTGTCCCAATTTGGCTTTGGTGGTCTAGCGGTTAAGCACACCGATTTACTTCCAGTGGTCGCGGGTTCGATTCCTCGGACGGTGCAGATATTTGTATTCATGAGTAAGATTGTTTGTGTGGGTCTGGGAGTTTTCTATGTATATTTAAATTTGATATTTTACTTCAAAATTGGATAACTTCTTGCAAGGGAAAAAATTCAAGTCCGATTTATATCCAATCAACCCGTCCTAATGGTTTTTTAGTAAAGGGATCAATAAAACTACCTATCAAATGGCAAAAGTGCATGAAGAGCAATGGACCATATTTTGATTAAATAAATATATTATATTTTGAAAAATCAACTGAAATTGGCGTTTTGTAAGGGAGTAATTAGGTTACTCCCTTACAAATTTCATATGTTAGGACCTAATATATTTACTACACGAGTTGGAGTAAAATTAAAGAGATTTCGGCAGATCCTCAATGTCCGGGGAAATTCCAAATAAAATACGCATTCGCTGATGAGACACCAAATAATAGACAAATAGAAGGGGAAGACTTATGAGAAAAAAAGAGCTGCACACAGCGAGCCTTCTGAAATCAAGCATTAGTATGATGCACCGCTACCGATACCTAAAATATATACAAAGACTTGATGAATCTATATAAAGATAAAAACATACCACCACACTATCAGACGTTTTATAAGAACTTAAGTACTAAATCTAAGACTAAACTAAACTAAACCACAGAGTCCGATTCCAAAGTTGAGGATAATGAACATTAATAAAAATAATAAAAATATCACTATTTTGAACATTTTTTGATTAAGTTGATTATGGAGGCAATAAACATTTCTTTAAAAATAATAATAAATTAATAATAACCCTGTTTGTTTTCATATTCTCTAAATAATTTTCGCCTCTATATTTATTCTTTTGACTTACATGCACGCACATAATAGACTATTTACTGTAAGAAGTAGGTATTACATGATACAAATTAAATATTCAGTTACTTTCCGCATTATAAAAGCTATTTTTATAAATACACTAACTAAACTAAAATAAATGGCTCCCTAGAAATACGTAACTCGATGTACAAAAAATTATATTTCGTTAAATAACAACGTAATTATACTTGCAATTCTGGATTTTAATGAAATATAGGAGAGTATAAAGACGTAAGTAAAGTTAAATTTGTTCATATATTTCAAAATACATAACAATAAAGCAATAATTGTAGTTACCCCTGCAAATGTTCTTTGTGTTTCGTGGAATACAGAAGTAACCGTGTTTTTTTAGATTATCTGGAAGTACATGAAGCTGTTCCTAAATTAAATGACACATGTAGTTGAAGGCAACTGTGACCTACGATTTTCTCTTTGAAACTTATTTCTAGAACTCATACAAAAAATATAGGACAGTTTTTTTAAGCTCCTGAAAAGTTGGTGAAAATCACTTACTTCCTTTTTCCACGAATGGTGCGATATACTGATTATAATGGTTTACTGTAATTCTAACTCGGCTCAAGAATGTTAAGCTTATCTGAGCGATAGGTACAAATCCAGAACCCGAAATGAAATGACAAAGTGTGAGTGAAAATTGTGTCTGAACATTCTGTACAATCTCAAATAATATACAACTTATTTTAACTAAAACAAATAAATTATTCCTAAGGTCATCTAATTTTCATAATACCATAGATAACATAATGTGATAATACAAAAAGGTTTTACTTAGTCCGTGACATGAAGTGGTATTTCCACGCCACGGAAATACGTCGTCCCCTCTATTTTAATTATTATGAAAAAGAATATTTTTGTTAATTAATTAAAAAAATATGTTCTATTGTGTTTATACACACAGTTGAATTCTTTACTTTAAGAAAAATCGTGAAGATTGTCCTTTTGGGGGCGGCATGCCCCTTCAGCACCCCCAACGCTACGTCTCTGCCCCTATCATCTTCTGACTTCTCTCCTGTATATGTTACCTGGAAGGGATTGCTTTAGCGATAAGACCACGTTTTATGCTTCATTTCTCTATACATTTCCTAGTAATCCATTTCTAAAGCAGTAATGATTTAATAAATAATTAAAGACACCAATAAATATTATAAAGTTGTAACAAAAGAAACCAGACAATATCAAATGTTCCTTACCTAAACTGACTTCATCTAAAATAGAGCAAATTATTTACCTAAAACAAGATTTATACATACATTGACATATATATAATCCGCTCTTTTATCATTGATATCGCATGTAAATATTACATAGAGAGGAAATTAAGTGCGAGAAATTAATTATTTCTTAAAATATTTTTCGAATTTTTTTTACGTGACTAGAATAATGAACTCATAATCGTAGTCATGAACGGCATCATAGATATAATAAAATATATAGAAATTCCTAATCTTAGCCAAGCTCAATATACTTCTATATTCATCATTATTCAGATCATAACTTCCTTTATGTGTATTAAAAATATATTGGAGTACATAGTCGCCAAAATATTCAATATCTACTAAAATTGACCCTATAAGATAAACAAAGATGTCATGCCTATGTGGACTGTTATTTTACTGCTAAGTATAAAATGGGCACATAATTCACAAACGCATGTTGCTTGGTGGCATAAATGTGTGACACAGAGAGGTATTTCGTACAAAGTCTCTCTCTGGTACAAAATTATAAAGAATAAGATATCACCTTTTTTTCACAGTATACTAATGCCGTTGCCCGTAGCTCTAGCGTTTACAGCATCACCGGACAAACTTATAACCCTAATTTAATTTTATAGATTTCTATATTATTATAAATATGTCATATGTTTCTGTTATTATATTCTTAACTCGATTTAGAACTATATTGTAGTCATCTATATCTGCAGTCTAGTATTAATTCTCTGACAACTTATAGAATGTCATGTATCTATATTATAATATATATATATATATATATATATATATATATATATATATATAAGTATCTAGGCATTAATCTACATGATATTCTTAAGCCGCAACGTAATGAATAGAGTGTTGTTAAATTTATCTTTATGTGGGATAACATTTTAGACTATAATGACCACCGTAAACAGATCTTAAAAGATATAGTAGGTATAGTTATTACCGTCTTCTTCATAAAAACGTCAAACGGCTTTATTATTGTCTATATAATTATGAATACAAAAGTATTGAAAGTTGTGGCGTCTATTTATAATAATAACAATTCAGAAGTTATGTTACCAATAATAATGAACCTTTACGAATGCTGCCAATTTAAGTTTCTATATAATGAACTAGTGTACTGTAAGTAATCTTAAGAAATATTATTATATATATTTCAGCCAGGAAGAAAAAAGGCCTCCCCAAACATCTCCACGATGATCGGTCCTGCGCTGCTCGCATCCAACGCCTTCCGTCTTCCTGGCGGACGTCATCTTGACTAGATCGTCGGTCACTGCATTTTCCGGTTCGCGGTCAGCACTCGAGGACTTTACTGCCACTTACTTAACTAATACCGGATAGTCTACAAGATATTAAAGCAAATGTAGTATTATAATTTAATATCGACCACATTCCATCTCAATTGACGCCCTCTTCAGAAGTAGAAATATTTATAGGTATTTTCAGTATACGGTACAGCATACGGACCAATGCTCATCGACAACATATGACATAACTTTATGTAATGTCGATGTTTTCTTCTCTGTTATCTCCAGTGCCTACATCTCTAAATAATGTAATATACTCAACGGAAATCCTCTGTTTCTTTACTTTGATAAGAATACGTAGGAAAGGTAAACTACTGTACGAGAAATAAGTAGCATTCATTTATGTATTCACAGTGTAACAGTACAATCGCTAGTAATATAATATCTCCATGTAGATAACAATGACTTTTGAAAAGTTACACCTTTGGATATTAATTCTACTTGCTGTAAGTTAATAATGGTTATTATTATTATATTATTATAGAGTATAGATGACAAAAAAATGTCTTCAGTATCTCCTAGTCTATTCCTGGTTATTCCTTACACCGAAAGGTGAACACATTGAATTGAAAAATATTACAGACAAATGCATACAACCTGATATAAATATATATTAATGTAATACAACTAACGTAATACATACATACATACAATTCAAATTGGAGTATCTGTTTGTAATATTGAAATAACCGTTTTTTACTACATGTGTATGAATATAAATACGGTTACCAAAATAACATTTTTTACAATTTTTGTCTGTCTGTTTGTTCTGGCTAATCTCTGAAATGGCTGGACCGATTTTGACGGGACTTTTATTGTCAGATAGCTGATGTAATAGGAGTAACTTAGGCTATTTTTATTTTAGAAAAATAAAGTAAATTTCACGCCGACCATATCGCGTGTACAACAAATATAAACATAAACTAATCAACCTATCTAAATTTCATTGCAGAGTCTGTGCCTTGCAAATTGTAAACTCTGCAGTACAAATGGAAAGTTTATGAGCAGTCACAACTGCTCAAGTTACCTTGTTTGCAATGGCTTTATCGAATACGAAATTCCGTGTCCATCAGGATTCATTGTCAACTATCAAGATATGATTTGCTCTAATTCCACAAATTTTCATTGTGAACCAAACTATACATGTACGAATACAGGAAATTTCACAAATCCATCTAATAATGCTTCCTACATAACTTGCATCAAAAGTGTGAACGAAATGATCATAGCGGTCTCTACAAATTGCCCTGATGGCCTTTTGTATGACAATGTCGAAGAAAAATGCACGGTTAAGCAATCTAAAACTGATGTTCAAGTGAGTACAAGTGCTACAGAGTTTCAGTGTACTACAAATGGAATATTTATCAACAGTTACAATTGCGACAACTTCATAAATTGCATTAATTGGGTGCCGTACAACATTAGTTGTCCCCCCAATTTTATTGTTGACTTAAAGCATAAGAATTGCTCTAGTACTACACCATACCACTGTGAACCCAATTACAAATGTACCAAAATAGGAAACTTCACAAAATTCGGTAGTGAACATTCTTACATTACGTGCATACAAGGATTAGGCAATCTCATCGTAGGAATATCATCAAAATGTCCAGATAAATTTGTGTTTAATGCCTTGAAAAACCAATGTATACAAAATTATACTATAATCAAACCAGCTAACAGTGCTTCTTGTATGTTTACTTACTTTTGGTTACTTACATTGACATTCCTCTATCCATTAAAAACTATTTATATATTTTAGTTTTAGTGGTATTTTATGAATCATAGTAAAGGTTTTCGTGCTAGTCTATTTTTTGTATACCTATTATTTGTTACCTAATCTATATTATAATTTGTAATTTGAAATGTGGTCATTAAACCAGAGTAGAGTAGTTGTCATAGTTTTTATACAGTATAGATACTGACTAATGATTCAATAATAAATTGAATAGTTTAATATTAAAAAAGATACTTTTATTTTTGCCTTTTGCGGTTGGGAGGAGTATGGTTAGCACTAAGCGGATCACAAGATCAGAGAGAGTCAAGAGAGAGAAAAGATAAGATATATGCTTAAATCTCCAAAGTAAAGTGACTAATCTAACTTCGCGCCCGTGCAATCAATCTCCACTAGTGTCTCTCTCGCTAGCCTATATCATTAGTACAGGCAGGTGCAACGTTCCATTAACAAGGAGAAGGAGAGTGTTAGTATTGAGGACCAATGACCCCATTGCTAGCCATTGCAATGTAGCTAGGTACATTTACCTACCATGTCAAGTTCTTTCCATGCTGTTCACTCTGGATATCATCATGATAAATATGTATTGAATTTGCCACGAAGGGCTGTTAGATCAGTTACTGACATGAGTTTATACTTATTTTGTCATCGTCCGTTAGCGCAGGCGAATCCATCATTACTTTGACTTCCATTAAAAAAATATAAAATTATCATACAAAAAAGTCTATGTTGTTTTATTAAATAGACTGCGTACATACTACCTATCTACCTACTGTCATACGAGTACATAATACTTGCCCTGTTTGATACCTACTTATTATACACTCTTTGCTACTTGTTTACCTATCTAAATGCGAATGAGCGTCTGTATGTTACTTGGATGTTTTGTAATGTTATAATTCCTTCTGTCGTCGTAAAGTAAATACAACAGAGACATATCGATAGAAATTATTTATGTTGCCGTCGTTCGACCTTACATTAGCGCATTTTATAAATCAAAATAATTTTGTATTGCATTACAACTTTAACAGAAACGATTTCATATAGTGTTACATAATTAGCCCAAAGATCGTTGGTATCAATAAGATGGACATAGACTACAATATTTTAATCGCAGGTGGCAGTCAATAATATTTTTTTTTAATTAAGCTCGTTTAGAATTCGACATCTTTGTTTTTTTTTGTTAAATGTTACTATAACAGTAATTTTAATTATTCAATAAATTTTTAATAGAGATAAAACAGTTCAAAATTGAAAATGCCGCCTGTGCTAAGACTTGAAAAAAAGGTTTTCGACTGACAATTGTCATTTTTTAGGTCTGTGTGATAATCTAATCTGTGAATTCTGTCATAACATAAAAGTATAGTTATTGAACATTTTATCAAATTCTTTTTCTTAATTTTTATATAGTACAATAATATGATAAATTAAATATTCTCTATAATTCGTAATATATTAAATCAATTTATTTTTAAATGTATTCCAACATAATTTTACCACGGTATATATTTCATTTTAGGTTATGTTTACCGAGTGTTGAATTTAAAAAATTTGAGCCTCTTTCGTACTTTATCTAAACATGTTTGTTGTTAAATAGGCAATGGTCCAGATTATCTTACATCTATCGGACAACATCAACCTTAGAAGGACAATCACTTCCTCAAACTGCTAAATCAAGTGACGGAATATCACCACCGCCCCGGATACCTAGAGGTCCTACTGATATTCTTCAAGCTTTGGCTGCTACTGTTGGACCTGATCCAACTGCCGCTCATTACAAGTAATATATGAGAACAACTTTTTTGAACACACTCTTATTTACTAAAGAATAATGAGTATTTTTTTATTTATATATCTAATAGGCGACTTGAACCTAATAGACTCTTGTGTTGCATTACACAGTTAATTCTGAACTAAACAATAAGACTATGACAGATGTATCTATAAATAATTACAAAAAATGTATAGGAATCTTAGACAGAAGATATGATTTTAATTTGTATCATAAATTATTAACAGTAATGTGTACTATTATGCAATTGTATAAGTTTCGCATGCATGGTATAAGGTACTAAGATTATATTAGGTATATTTTAATAACAGGTATCATGATGATCCATACTTGATACCATTATCAAACTTTCGCAAACGGTCCTATGCACTCTCTGCTGAAGCTGGCCGCAAGGCAGCGGCTTGGATTCGAGATGAAAATGCTGAATTATTTAACACCCGAGTGTGGGACCCTCCGGGTAGAAAAAAGACCCCATATTTTAATGCAGATCCTCAAATTCTTGCATTTTCACCAAAACCAATATACAATGATGAAAGCAAGGTAAAAAATTTAATTATTTATAAAAACTTACATTGTAATTATTATTATTTTTATTTAATTTTACAATTTGAAAGTGAAATAAGTAAGCCTAACAATTTTATTTTTATTAAAAATTTAGAATACAAATATTTATAGCAACTATACTTAGTTTCTAAATGATAAATGCTATACAGTATTTCTTTAATTTATTTAATATCTAAATAAATACAACATTACATGATGTTATTAAATACAAATATTTTGTTCTGAATATTTGTAATAAAAATCTTTGATCTGTGGTAAAAACTAATTATTGTACATAACCTTAATGATGCAACTGTACTAGTTATTTCATACTCAGCTGGTTATACAAGTAAAACCTATTAGGGTTTGTGTAAATTATATTTTTATGACTGTTTCAAGGTTACAGAAGAAGATTTAAAGTATACAATAAATAATGCATTATTAGAGGATTCACTAAAAATATTCCAACTCCTCGGAGGAACTAGTGGGGTCAGTGAGGAACTGAGAATTGAATTCTTGCAACTTTTATGTTTTTACAATGAGAAAGAACCAGATTCAATGGAATGGCTTGAGGAACGGTGGTTTTCTGCTAATGTTAGAGAGCGACAAGCAGCTACATGGAGGTAGTATCTTAATAATAATTGTAAAAAAAATATTTAAATAATTATATATATGCATGATATTGGCCTTGAATTATATTACATATTTTTTCTTTAAAAGGTTCCAATATAATTATTCTTATATAGGAACCTTTTAATAAAAAAATATGTCATAAATTAACAAAAAATACAATTTATATTAATTTAATAATCTTATTGATTTACATAAAAAGTTCAGTTCAAAAGATTATTTTTAAAATTGGTAAAGCCATAAATTATGTCCTGTCATTTGTTTCAATATATATATATATATATTGAAAGAAATGACAGGATATATAAAATTAAATTAAATCCCTAAATAATAAAAAACATTTAAAAATTGCAAGTTAGTACATCACAACAGTAGTGGATCAGTGTATGTCTAAGTGTCTAAATGATGAAAATACATAGCTATAATAATATAATATTTAATAATTAATGTGCAGTTGGGAACTATCAAAAGAACAATGAATCAATGTAGTGAAGTATATCAAATAACATGACCAATAAAAAAGAATCTTCTACAAATATAAATTTAAAAATAATAAGAATTTCAAAGGATTGGTCGATCGGTCGCCAACAACTACCAGTTTAATGGTTTACTAAAATTTGCTATTATTAATAACATAATGCATAATTTGTAAAAGGTTTTAGTCAAATTGGTAATTAAATACGAGTCAAATTGGTATTGTAATATGATTCAAATTGGTAATTTAGCTTTCAGTTGAAATGTACTGTTGCTGTTGGATTTCTAATAAATGAAGAAAATATGTTATTTTTATAATACTATATTGTATCACTACAGGATAGGTGGTCTAGCTGATAAAATATTTGAATCTCTTGATCCAAAGACACCTGAAGCATACTGTTGTATCATTCAGGGCATGGCAAAGTACTATCAGGTAAGTTTATAAAGAAATATCTCTTTGTGTGTGGAAATAAAGAAAACTAATTTACATTTAAATTTATTCTTCTATACCTACCAATGTGTTCTTCATAATATTTAAAAATAAAATTGTTATATGTTATTATAGATTGTAGAAAGTCTGTGTGATCATAAAAATTGTACATAATTATGTTATGATAAGTTTGTTTTCCTTATAATGACATATTTTTTGTACTTAAAAAACTGTTTTATTAATGCCAACATTCTTAACAGGCTGAAAGAGCATATGTACTAACTCAGGAAGCAAAAGATAATGGGATCAAACTTTCAACTAGTGCATACAATTCACTTCTGGGTTGTATAGGATATTTAAAAGAAGGTACTGCATTAAGAACAGAATCACTGAAAAGTTTATTAGTGGAAATGAATGAACAGGTAATATTACATATTAAGTTACAATTATGTTTAATTTATTATAACTCCTTAATTAAAATGCAACTTATAGTGTGACTAAGCTTTATACAATACATAAAAAAATTGCTTCAATGTACTTTATATGGAATTTAAAAATTTATACTGTTATCCAATTATTTTGTTGTACGAACAGTGACTAAAAATACTTGACGATTTTAAAAAGTTTTACTCTTGCAAAGGCTTCATTCCTTATAAGCAGCCCCAAGTTTTACAGTTGTTTTTTTATATACTGATGGTAATGTAATGATGTTTTAGGGCATATCCCCTAATAAAGAAACGCTGTCCGCATGTCTTCGATCCATATCGGCGTGGGGCGGCGGCAAAAATTTACAACAATTAGCGTTACAAATTGTAGCCGAGTTGAAACAGTTAGGAATCCACCCTGGACTTACCGCGTATTACTATCTCCTGTGCTTATTCTGTAAAGAACGTAAGTATACTAATGTATTGATTATTTAAGTGTCTATGTGAAATGGCAGATGAAGAGTAGTGTCAACTACCTATATTATAGCGTGAGAGGCAAATATGAAATCAAATCATAGTTTTCTAATGTAAGAAAAAAACCTCGAAATTAAACACAATACCAAACCGGATCGGTGATTATGACGGGCAAGCCCATCATAATCACCGACGTTTACACCGTTTTTTTGTGTATAAACACCCGGCATGCGTGAGTGATTCATTAATAAGTCATCTTATGGTAAATATTATTAAAAACAGTTAGAAGTATTGTTTTGCAGTTCCAGAAAACTAACATATAAATTAAAATAAAATTTCACTTTAATAATATTGGATATATATTTTAAATTCAATTATATGGTTAAATAAAATTATATTACAGGTGGGCCGCGCTTCGACATTTTGAGTGGAATTTTAAACGATTTAGAACAAAGAGATGAATTGGAGCCTAAAGAACCAACAGATACAAACTTCTTCATTACAGCCATGGGTGTATGCAGTGATCACTTACAGGTATGCTTTATATTTTATGAAAACAATTATAATACCAACCCATTTCATTCTTTTGATATTATTTAAAGCTATTCTAACTAGATTCAAAAACTGTGATAATATTAATTATTTTAAATGTAAAAAACACGTCATTTAACATTTCTACTCTACACCTATTATAAATGTTTGCATTCATAAATTTAACACTTCTCATAAATTTAAAAAGTAAGTTGTAGGTATATTATATAGTATACTTATAAGAAAGTCATAGGTATTCCTTAGTCTCACTTATTTCAGCCGCTAAACAACTTCTTTGTAGTATGTGTTGGTTGTAGAGTAAGATGATTCCGTTATGCTGTTGGCATCACAAGCATTACATGGTAATGTGATGTCCATAGTGCTATTCATATATATAGGTGACAGTAATCAGTTACCATTAGGTGAAACGTCAGCATGTGTGCAATTCCAATTACAAAATGAAACATTAACCTAGAGGTCTGTTTACAACTACGACAAGCCTACAACCTGCTACGAAAGTTGACGACCTCGGTGGTTTAGCGGTTGAGCACACCACTTCACTTCCGATGGGTTCGATTCCCTTGCACGGTGCAAACATTTGTAATCATTAATATGATTGTACCGGTCGGGGTGTTTTCTATGTATATTATGCACGTATTTACAAAAAAAATATCTAAGTATTTATTGATATAAATGTGCCATGTTGTCTAGTACCTATAACACAAGTTCTACTTACCGTAGAACTAGATGGTGCAGTGTTAATTATCCAGGGTTATTTGTTTATTTATTTATTTTTGATTTTCATTTTATTTTAGGATATCAACTTGGCAGAAAGATTGCATGCATTACTAATGAAAGGCGATAATTACAAATTAGTTGGTGACGCCTACAAAGAAAGCATTTACTACAGACATTTAGTTACAGTCGCCTGCAGGTAACACTTACTATCTACATAAAGTATAATGCAGATGCCGTGTTTTATACGCGCCGATTACCTTAACATCCAAACTATATTCAGTCGAAACAAAAAATAGATTAATCCCTCTCCTCCATCCTCTAGTTTTATCCCTCGACACATCAAATATAGGTCTTGTATCATGGTCATAATTTAATTATTGTAACTTTATTTAAAAAAATACACGTGTTGTGAAAAAATTGTAACTCCAAAATGTCTAGCCTTTTCTCGACTAAATATTATTGACTTAAAATTAATTTAAGAATAATATTACAATTGTTTCAACATAATTATTAATGTATATTTTAATATATTATTCTTATTGTTTATTAATACATAGACACGCGCCCCTTGAAAGGACGACTCAGCTGTTGGATATGTTAGTTCCAAATGTGTATGTCCCAGAGCCGACAGTAATGGAAGAGGTACTGTATATATCACACTACTCTTATAATATACATTTAAAACGAGATTATAAATTTGTAGCTTTAAGTATCCTAGTGGTTACCCTGTAGTCGATATTCGACCATAAAAAAACTATAGACGAGTAATATTAAAGACATACAATATTAATCTATTCTCAATTTGACCACAGACTTTAACAATAAATAAAAGAGTATATGTGGAGGTGAGTATCAAATACATGGTAGTGTTTGTAATGATTTTTATTGCTATATAGAGAGAAGTGGAGAATACTATTTTTTTCTAATTATGCATAAAAAATACTATATATTTTTTATGTATAATTAAAAAAAATAGTTTTCTGCACTTCTACGCTATATAAACTATAAGTGTGCGAAATTTCATACTCTTCCGTCCGCGCAATTCTTGTAAAAAGCGACTCACCTATATATATATATATATATATGTAAGGCTGTTACTGAAAAACGTCATATGTAATGTCAAATCTAAATGATTGCAATATCATAATAATAATTTGTTTGCATTGTTTACTTTTCTTACATATTGTTAATAATTGAAGTGCATACCACTATCTACCCGTTATCATAGATAATGAAACTCATCATATTATATTTAATTTATTATCTACTCATTCACACATTCATTAATCAATTTCCATGCCATATAAGTATGTGGGGAAACCCACAGATTTACTTGTAATTAGACGACGCAAATACTTCAATTTTTATGATAACTGTGTTAGTACTGATTAAGACAATTAAAACGCTTGATATGCTATGATGAACTTATAATTCTTATAATTAAAGGAAAAAGAGATTGAGAGAGGAAAATTAAAATATTGATTAAGAAAACAATTCGAGTCCAGGATACAATTAAACACTGTTTCTATCTCAACATCAAAAGAAATTGTGTTTTATATTATGTATTAAGATAGAAATTATGCTAAATTCGCGCTTAAAAAAACTATAAGCAGTTGGGTAATATAGTAATATTGTATCTGTGGAAAGAGTCGTACCTAACCTAACCTAAATTTCGAACATTAATGTTTTTTTAATAAATGATAATGGAATTAACACTGATCTACGTCAACGGTATACACTGTCGACGCGCTAATTAGCGATGAAAAGATGACCATGCGCTCAGGTCAATTAACCCATTGTAATAAACTCCCCAAGAACAAAGCGCGATGATCTATTGGCGGATAGTCTACGTGGATGTAAACCTGATGGTACATTTCCAGCAATAGGGTTACTACTTCTCATTGCTAACAACCCCATTTTCCCAACATTAATGAATTCTTATATGGTTGTTATCAGATTATTAAGACCCTGGAGGTGGGTGGTGATGGAGACCGACTTGCGCAGGCTTGGTCGCAGCTAGTTGTGTTCGGGATCGCAAAGCGAGCCAAGCTCGTTGAGAGATTGCTGACTGCTATGTGCAGCTGTTACCAATACCAAGGTCAGGGTACCTAGTACCTAGATACTGGCTGTCATCAGTCCTTTTATAAACATGAATTAGTCCATACTAATATTATAGTATACAGAGGTAGAGTTTGTGAGTTTCGATATTTGCGGTAATCTCCGGTCAATAAAACAACTTCTAGATCGGATCGGTAGTACACTACCGATCCGATCTAGAAGTTGTTTTATTGTTAGATAGTACATTTATAAGAGGGACCGGAAGACGCAGCGTGGGTAGGCCTCAAACAAGGTGGACCGACGATCTGGTCAAGATCGCTGGAAAGCGTTGGATGCAAGCGGCGCAGGACCGATTATTGGGGAGGATATAATTCGAATGAACAAATTAACGTCTTCCGGGCTAAAATGGTGATGAATGATGACATATATAAGAAGAAGACAATATTTCTTTTTTATGATAATGCAATAATGCACCCACCTGCACTAGTCTACGCTGGCGCAATTTATAAAATATTTTCCAGGTGCAACCACTTGGAGGTTATATTAATTAACTATTTGTTCACCCTGATATTTATAACTCTTTTTTTTTCATTAAATAATCTGTAATCTATTTTAGATGAGGAAGTAAAAGGTAAAATACGAGCAGCAGCTGCAGACATACTTAAATACAGTCAACTTGGCGAGGACAGAGAAGAAACACAGGACCTCAGATCACCAGTACAAAAGTAAGTTAAGGATATATTAAAAACAAGTAGTTTTCTCTATTTACAAATTCAAAACAAATAAGCAGCGATTTCCTCGTATATACATGAAATGAACAGACAAATATGACGTCATAATTTAATAGTAAAAGTAAAAATAATTAATGTTTTTTAAATCGTTGTCTAAATAGATTAATAAATAATCATAATAGTTTTCTTTTCGAAACTATTATTATGTTTTATTTGGCGGGCATGCTGTGACATTTATCGGTTTCATAATAATACTCGTCGTTTACAAATTCACGAGAGGAAAATGGGAGTGAGGCAGAGGGCACTCGAAGAATTAATGGAATGGCTGAAGACCAACACTTCTAACACACACGAGTTACGCTACTTACCCCATAAATATTTCTAGTCTCTTCCATGTGAATTTTTTTACAAACATTACGTTTAATTCTCAGATTGTCAGCCAACGCACTATCAAATATAATAGAGTTGTGTTCAGACACACAAGACAAATCTGACCCTAATTGGGAGACTGTGTCGGAGGCTTTACAAAAATTACAAAGGTCTGAAGCAGTTGGTGTACCGAACAAACCAGAGGTATTAGCGAGTGTAGCACAGAAGGCAGCCACTGTGGGAAAAGCCGGTATAGCTGCTGTGAGTATAATTTTTTTTGATGGATTATAGTCGAATGGTGTGTGTATAGAATTTTAGTATGTTCTGATTTAAAATCTATGGAATAGGCTATTTATAAATAAACAGATAGTGACTAACTCATAACAGTTTGAATAAATTCTTTAAATGTTGATTATGATATTGTGCTGCGTCTATATTTGCGCAAGTAGACGATAGTATAGACGCTGTCGGAGCAGTAGTGCTAAAGGCCAGGATAAACATGATTCAGATCATTCATCCGGTCGTTTCGAATTCACCTAGAATTAACCGCCAATAGTTAGTAGTTGTTGTAGGTCAGTAGTCAGTAGATAAGACTCAATGTCTGATCACTCCTCTACATCCATGGGTTGCCGGAAAAATCGCTATTTAATAATAATTGTTACCTCTCATTGTTACCTCTGTTGTATTTTTTTTTTATTTGGTATACATTTTAACGTATGTTGTTAACGTACATTGTAACGTATGTTTTTTCTTTCTTTCTGTGTATATTGCTGGTATTATGGCTACCAACAATTTCCTTTCCTCTATACTTCCGCTTACATTACAATGTGTAAAACATTGTAATGTGACAGAGTTTTACGTGAAATTAGTTTTTAACGTCAGCTGCTTCGGCGTGATCATGATAAACCGGAACAAAAAGTAATCTATGTCCTTATATCCCCAATGTAAAAAATATTTGATAATTATAACATAAATTTTAATGATGATTGGTTAAGTCACAAATACACTTGACTTTGGCATAGTATTAATTAAGATGAACACTAATAACACTGTTTAATGATAAAATAAACGAGTCTATTTATATGTATCAAAATTGCAAAGGGGAAAAATAATGTCATTAGAATCTAGATTATATAATTCAATTGATAACAATTCTATTTTTAAATAATAGGAAGTATACAGAGATTAATATATGGATATTTATATTTTAAAAAATTCGGCTACGATTAATGGGACTTGACTATGTAAGGATGTTTCGAACGTCTCTTACTTCAAAGAGATTTAAATAGATAATCGCTGGCCTTGTGCCACTGTGACAATTAAATGTTCTACAAGTAACCAAACATATATACACCGCTAGACCACCGAGGCCATGAACGCCGCTATGGGCTATGGTCTAGCGGTTTAGCATGCCGCTTTACTTCCGATGGTCACGGGTTAGATTTCACGCTCTGTTCAAACATGTATTTATGAGTGTGATTGTTTGTATCCATCTGGCTTTTTCTATGTATATATTTACAAAAAAAACGTATCTAGGTATTAATATCAGTTGTCTAATATTATGTTTGTACCTATACTACAAGCTCTATCTAGTCCCAAGCTAAGCAGTTTGTGACTAGATAGTGCTGTGTGAATCGTCCTGAGATATTATTGTTTTTATTATATATGAAAGTGAAGTTAACTGCACGGTGTCTATGATAGGTATGATACCTTAATTCTCTATATTAGCAACGCATGACCCCTTGGGCATCACACTATTACGTGACAATGCATTTTATACATGTCTATAGCAGACGATTGGCACTTTCACATGAGCCATCATATTGAGATTTAAGATTGTGCAATTTGTTATTCGTATTTGATTTAGTAGTTCTTGACTTTTTTGGCACCACCACCTAAAACAATTGTATAGATAGTGTTGAGTGGGTACTCAACATCACCTATGACTGGAAAAGATCTCTTCTAGGGATAAGTCCACCTTTGTTCACAATGTCTCTAAATTATATGTGCAATAAAAAATATATATTGTTTGCTATTGCAGTTCCATGAATATATATATAATGTAGCTTCTCTTTTTTTGAAGTAATTGAATTGGAATCATCAACTGCATTACATAATCTTGCCGCAATTCAGTCACAACGTATAAATGAATGTGATGTTTGATAAATTCTGACATTAACGTGATTCATACTAATATTATAAATTACTTAATTAATGTTAATGGAACTCAGTCGATTCAGGACCCGTAGGCAGTTGTTTACTCTGCTTAACTCCTTGAACTGACTGTAATAATTATAATAGTTTATTTGTTCAAAAGCACAGTACAAAAAATGATAATTATAAAAAAATAAGATCATGTGTTTTGCCGTAGCAATGGCATACAAAGTATTGTTTAAATATGTGTATGTAATGTATTAAATTTATTCATATTTTGTATGCCAGTGCTTTATGCCCGCTGTTTTGCAGATGGCTGTGACATATCTCTCGGAGTGTGGATTTGAAGAAGCAATGTCGGCCAGTACACAGGTGCTTGGTGTGATGCTGAACAGGTCACAGGAAGAAGTTCAGCAGTTGCTGCAGGAACGGCAAGGACTCGACTCACTACATCCATCTGCTTTGGCAATTGCAGACGCTTATCACCTGTAAGTTTTCTGGATCATCGAAATTAATGTTTAATTATATGAATTGAAATTCTGACAAGATGAATCAAACTTAAAATTTTAAAGAAAACAATGTTCTAGCAATTATAGTTCAAAATTCCAAAGTTTTTAGTAGGTTATGTTATAAGACAAAATAAGAATGATAGGAGGTTACTTTTGGAATATGCTATCATAAAAAAATATTTTTCAAATGAATATATACAATTATACCTACATAATGTAAATGCTGCTACATAATGTTAAGGTATTGTCAACTATACCCTTGATATGTTTATATTTCGCTCAGTATATTTAAATCCAACAAGACGACCAGCCTACTGCTGTTTCTTGGATTAGTTTGGTTTATTATGGGTGTTTCAGTTTTTTAATTATCGGTGAGTCAGTCATAAATATAAATCGACAAAAAGTTAGTTTATGTCGGCCTGATTTGAATTCACAACTTCCTCAAACATTTTTATATATATAAAAATAAAAGTCTTAAAGAATCATATCTAAAATAGAAATATTTATGTACAGAGCTAAAACCGGCGCGCCTGCACAAAGCTTGGATTCATCAACGAGCTCGGAAAGTGATAGTGAATCATCTTCTGAAGACGAGTAAACAAGCCATTCGTAATAAATGTCATCAAAGATAATAAAATAAGATTAGATATATCATTTATAACATGTTTCATTAAACTGACACAATCGTCCGCTGTTATCTTAACTAAGCAAGTAATCACTATATGTTTTAGAATGTTGTTAACACTATTCTATTCAACAATTGGAAAAAATAATTATCTACATATAATAAGTATACTTTCATGAAATATTTATTTAATTCAACCTTTAATAATATTAGGGGAGGGATCTGTTAGTAATGGTGTCTAGAGGCTCCATAGCAATATACTTATCAGGTTGACCTCCACATGATACCGCCTGGAAACAATAGAACGGCTAAAACATAGACAGTGCAAGTATGTTATTATTTACGTTATCCACATCGTTATAGCGCCGTGACCATACACTTGGCTGTAGTCCGTCAAGTTGTTAATGATTACGAAATAATCCTCATATGTTAGGCCACAGGTGGGCTACTCAAAAAATTGGCAGACTATAACAGATAATTAACATTCAGAGAAAGAATGAAATGAAACTATTGTTCCTCTCAAATAAAGTACTATTAAATATCTCGATAACACATCTTTTTACAGATTCAATTAATGCGATTGATTCTTCGTTTATTTTCTATTCATATCTTGCATGTGATCGGACTACCCTGACCGTACTGGACAAAGTACTCCATAAATACAAACAACAGAAGATAGAATAAAATTCGTCGTCCCGATGGGCTAATTGACCCGACCTCATGCTCATCTTATTCTCCACTCTCCCGCTGGTATAACGTTAGCGCAGACAGGAGAACTATCCATTAAAAAAAAGCCCTGTTCGACGATGGTTTATTGATAGCTTATGATTTTTTATAAAGTTGATTCCGTGTGAATTTAAAGAATTATGCGAGTATATAGAAAAATATGGAAATTTGAGAGTCTGTTTGTATGTGGAAATAGTTCCTAACTATTATTAGAAACTGTAGGTAAATACACGAAATGGGATACTTCGGTGACAGGACGTTCAATTTCTCAGTTTTCAATAAAAAGTACCAACCATTTTCCATCAAATATCCCGTTCGTTTGTAAGACATTTTTGGTAATATCCTTATATATGTATGCCTACTTTACATACATAACTGTTTTATCTTACGTGTCCATTCTTCGAAAGCAATATGGATCGTTAGTGTCGAAGTCACAATACAACTGTGACACATTGCGCCAGTGACACGAACTCATTTCTCTAAATATACCTACTCGTGAGGTGTTAAAAATGATAATTGGTCGTGAAGTGAATTTTTAAGAAAGTACTCACGTGCCCGTTAGTTGCTCTCCGGTCGTCTTCGAGTTAACCTTGGCTGAGTTTATAAAGCATGTCCTTCAAAGTGCTTCTAACTTCTTGTCTCGCGGTAAGTAAACAAATAAATTTAATTTTCCAGATTAAATAAATAAATATTGCAGTAATTACATATATTTACGACTATTATCCCAGATAGGGTAGCCAAAGGATTTTCTTCTGTAGACGTGGTGAACGTAATACTAGACATGTCCTGTAATGTCCACATTTCGCTCGGTATATTTGTAACCAACGTGAAAGAAGCGCTCTTACCACCGTCTCCTAAATTACTTGGTTTTGTATCGGTGTTTCAATCATCGGAGTATTTGTTAAAACTATAAATTGAAAACATTTTCTGTTTCTGTCGTGTGTTGACGACTAATCTAGTTGACACAACACTCTATAATTTTTAAAATTACTAAGTCAAAACACCAACTGCGCGTTACAACAGGAAACGAGTCCTCTACTGTTCGAACCGAATACGTTTCCAGTACAACCTGGAATCAAATGTTATTAGATTTCTTTTATTGTTGGCTTGTCTTTTAAAAATATTTCTGTTGAACCTCATATTGTTTAGATTTCGTTAATACACAGAAACTTTATTTCAAGCAGAAATCCATTTATATTACATATAGGCATACCATTGAATAACTGTTCTATTTGATTATTGTCAAAAATTTTACCTGTTTCTACTGCTATTTTCGTACAAAATTAAATGTACATAATTCTATTTTGTACACTTGTTATATCTATTTATTGCCATTTATTTCAGATACTAATAGGACATAGAAACGCAGTGACCGCATTCAAGCTGAAGAATTATGACTGTGGTCCATACGGTTTTATATGTGAAGGAGCAAATAAACTGAGAATCTGCGAAGGCATTAACTTATTAGGTCCTACATTTATCTGTCCACCTAATACACACTGCAATGAGGACTCTAGTGATGTTTGTCAGAACGCTGTTAATTATGTGGATCCTACCATAAGCAAAACCCTGTACTGTCACAAAAATGAGCGAATAATGGATCCCACAGTTCCGGGTTGTAAGGGTTATATTTTATGTATCCCGAATAAAAACAGATTTCAAGGTATTAAATTTAAATGTGGTGGTAATACAATTTTTAATAGTTACACTCGCACCTGCACTGCTCCAGATAAATTTAAGTGTCTTGTGGCTAACACTACAAAATCGTCAGTAGAACTATTTAGCGATGGAACTAAAAGAGTCCAATCTAATGCAGGTACGAGCGTGCGTCCTCAGATATCACCATACCGCTCTATTGAATGTAAAAACTATAAGTTTAGTGTAACAGATGACAATGAACCTGTACGCGCGATGTACTTCTGCCCACGAAGTCCTATTTGGGGAGAGACCTCAGTCCGGTGTACAGTGTTCTCGAGTAAATTCTGCATTACGTTGGAAAGGGACGACGGAGATCAAATCCTCAATAATGTCGGAACAGCGTATCGCAAACCACGAACATTACAAAATAAATAGACCCTATTTCAATGCGACTGAAAATCTACGTGAAATTTAAAGTATAAAATATTTATTACAATTCTAATAAAAGTGATCAAATTAAATTAATTTTGTGTTTATTAGATATTAAAAACACAGTAAAATTATAAGCGCTACTATTAAGACCTATTTTTAAGTAAATAAATATTACATTTAATTTCAGTAGTTTTAATTAAGTAAAATATAAATTATATAACAATAAAGTAAATAACTTAAACTATATAAATATTTATAACAATTTAATTTTCTACAGAAAAGACTGTTTAATTATAACATTTAGTGGTACCTTGACTGTCCACAGTTAGGTAGCATTTAATGTCATTTTATTCCCATATGTAAATGATAAACATAATTTTCCAACAGTAATTAATAATACAAATTACAGTAATGAATAACCCTAAAATTGAAGTGACATTTGTAAGCATTAAAACATTAATTTTATTTTTTATAGGCAATTTGTTTTTACATTATCAAATATCGCTAGCATTCATAACTCTCCTCATCTACACATCTTTTCTTATCCCTATTGAAAACCATGTCTTTTTTACACTGTTTCGATTTTCTACGAAATCGAGACTTCTTTTTTGAACAAATATAATATTTCCTACAATTGTTAGGATCGGCAAATTTGCCTTCTTCTTTGCATTCAAACTCATTACTATAGTTATTATTAGACTTTTTATCTGGAGAATTTATTTCAACTGTACTCTTTTCATTACTATTTTTACTAAAGCTATCCTCAGATTGTGAAACTTCTATATCTTTAATACATTTCACAGATGTCTTGTTCAAATGGAAACCATCTGCACATTGAAATTTATATCTGACAAAATAATTTTCAATATTCTTTATACATATATAATAAAAATTATCTTTAAAAACATCGCTATATCGTCCCACGGATGTACAACGAAAGGTATTATTTCTAACACAATGTGATAAATTATTTGTACATTGTTTTCTAATTTCACTGAACACTGTATTTATTGGACACATTCCATTAGTAGGATTCGGTCTTCCAATACAAATATAAAATTTCCTGCAATCATCGTTATCTCCGTATTTACCATTCTTTTTATTTCGGCAGTTAAAATGTATATCTGCTTTTTTTATAGGACTCTGCCTTGATGTAACTTTAGTTTCTTTATTGCTAGTTATATTAGCTCTGTTGCTTTTGAATTTTGAACGATTTTCTGTGGTTTCATTAACATTTTCAGATTTTTTTTTAAATGCAATGGCCATTTTATCTACTACATTGTTAACTGATGCGAGTACATTGGGTTCTGTAATAACGTCACTAATATTACTTTGTTGTATATTATATTGTGTCTTGGTTATATTCTGCTGCGATATGGAAGGATTGTCTACTGTTGCTGTAACTGTTGACACTGTCTTTGTTTCTACATGTGGCAAAGAACTTGGTAATAGTGAACTTAGATCATTGTTTTTATTAACATGATACTCGTCATACTGCGGAGTAAATGTTCCAAGTCCAATTTTCTTTGTGTCTGGAATTGAAATTTCTTGTTTATTATACGGCAAGGTGCAGTTATTAATATCCGAGCTAGTGTCTTTCATATACTCTGTTTGTAGTTTTGGCAAAAGAATTTTCACGTGTTCATTTTTTTCTTTAATTATTCTTACCTCAGTGGTACTTAAATCAATCTGTACTGTCACTTTTTCAGTAGTTGATGTGCGAAAATTACTGTGCGTCAGTTTTGTAAAGATATCATAAGGACTTTGCGTTGTACGTTCTTTATATGTTAAATCAAATTTATTCATGTTACTATTTGTGTGATTTTTTAAATCAATTGGTGACGCTTTTTTGTCGTAATTTATTTCTTCCTTCTTATTTGTATCTTGGATTGATGTATTTTGTAATAAGTTAGGTGCATTTGTGGTTCTCTCTTTTAACATATCAATCACGTAATTCTGCTCTTGTCCATATTCTTTAGTAAAAGATTTTGTTGTAACATTATTTAGTATCTGTTCTGAGTGCTGAATTGAAACATGTTGTACCGAATTACTTGGATTATCTCTTGAAATTCCGTCAATATCTCCAATTTGTGTTGGCTTCATATCGATGGTTATTGTTTGTATATTTGTTTTATTTATATTATGAAATCCAACATCTTCACTAACGTTTAATACAACTGTATCATGAAACGGTTCAGATATGTACTCATAGTCTGTTACAACATTTAATTTTGAGACAGGTAATGTATTAACTACTGAAGTAGTATTTACAGTATCAGATACATTAGTAAATAATTTAATTTCGTTCAATACTGGTTTTATGGGTAATCCCAAACTATTATTACTATTAATACTTTCTGTCATTTTTGGTTGAAATGGAGCAATTAATGTAGTAAGATATGAAAACGATTCGGTGTCTAAATTGACTGAAACTTTAGGCGTATTTTTGTCATCTGTTGTGGGTTCCGCTATAAAGTAATCAGTCGCTGGTTTTAATGTATTGGCAGTCATATTAATATTGGTAAAGAGATCTGCAAATTCATTCACATGTGTTACTTCATTATCTTTTTTTTCATATACATTTGCTTTTTCTTTTAAAATGTTTTTACTGTTGTGAATTAAACCAGATGTATTTTCAGGAAATTTCCTAACTTGTGCTGTATCTGTTGTATCTCTTATTTTGGAATCTTCTGTAACTTCATTTAATGATGATAGTAATTGAGTATTAAAGGATTCTGCATTTGATAGTGTAGTAAATGAATTGATACTATTTGTATGTTTATCGATAGTCGATGATGTAACAACATTAGCTATTGATTCAGTAGATTCTCGATTAAAAACTATTAATTCTGGTACAATCGTGGATGCCGCCGGATGTTGCATTGTTGTAAAATATTTTCTAATGTTTTGCTTAGTCGTTTCACTTATTATTTTGTCAAATGTGTTGTCCTTCGTAACTTGGTGTTTTAGTGATGGTGAGTGTATTATAGATGTTTGAATTGGCGTTTCTGTGGTTGTAAAATCCATGTATAAGCCAACATTTTCAATAGTCGAAGATAAAATAACGTCATCAGTGGATATTATGGCTAGATCGTGATTAGAGTATGAAGTAGTTTTCGCAGATATTGGCTCATTTTCATCTATACGTGTATCTGAGTATATAGTTAAAATTCCATTATGTACGGATTCTGTAGTTACGTCATGTGGTATATTTAGATCGTTTATTTTAATTTCCCAAGTGTCTTGATTTAAAGAAGTAGATAATGGTAACGATTTTGTAATTTCCTGTATACTCTCAGTCATGTAATCTACCATAGGTGGCAATTGTGTAGTATGAGTTCTAATATTTAGTGGAATTGTCGAATCTATTTCAAATATGTTTTTATCAAAAGTCGAAATTAAAGTAACATCTCGCATAGACTCAGTTGTCACATCATTTTCTGTATTTAATTTAGTAATTTTATTTACAGATCCATCTTCAGTTACAACAGTAGACGTAATCAAATTATTTGTAATTTCTGGTGTATCCCCTGTTGAGTAATCTTCCATGTCTTGGTTTAGTGTTGATGTTATGTATACTGTAGAAGTTTGTGTAGATGATCCTGCGCCTAATAAATCAATTTCCTCTATATTGTTTTCTACAATTGAATTTAAAATAGCGTCATGTCCGGATTTTGTAGTTTGATCATAGGGTATATTTAGATCGCTAATTTTAGTTACCCATGTGTCTGGACTTAGAGAAGTAGATAAAGTTAACGATTGTGTAATTTTCGGTATACTCTCAGTTACGAAATCTGTTGCAGATGGCAAGTATGTAGTACGAGTTTCAGTGTTTAGTGGAATTGTCGAATCTATTTCAAATATGGTTTTATCAAAAGTTGGAATTAAAGTAACATCACGCATGGACTCAGTTGTAACATCATTTTCTGTATTTAGTTTACTAACTTTATTTAAAGATCCATCTTCAGTTACAAAAGTAGACATAACCAAATTATTTATAATTTCCGGTGTAACGCCTGTTGGGTATTCTTTCGTATCCTGGTTTAGTGTTGATGTTATGTATGTTGTAGAAGTTTGTGCAGATGATCCTGCGGCTAATAAATCAGTTTCCTCTATATTGTTTTCTATAATTGAATTTACAATATCGTCATGTCCTGATTCAGTAGTTGCATCATTTAGATCGCTAACTTTATTTCCCCCTCTGTCTGGACTTAGAGAAGTAGATAACGACTGTGTAATTTTCGGTATACTCTCAGTTACGAAATCTGTTGCAGATGGCAAGTATGTAGTACGAGTTTCAGTGTTTAGTGGAATTTTCGAATCTATTTCAAATATGGTTTTATCAAAAGTTGGAATTAAAGTAACATCACGCATGGACTCAGTTGTAACATCATTTTCTGTATTTAGTTTACTAACTTTATTTAAAGATCCATCTTCAGTTACAAAAGTAGACATAACCAAATTATTTATAATTTCCGGTGTAACGCCTGTTGGGTATTCTTTCGTATCCTGGTTTAGTGTTGATGTTATGTATGTTGTAGAAGTTTGTGCAGATGATCCTGCGGCTAATAAATCAGTTTCCTCTATATTGTTTTCTATAATTGAATTTACAATATCGTCATGTCCTGATTCAGTAGTTGCATCATTTAGATCGCTAACTTTATTTCCCCCTCTGTCTGGACTTAGAGAAGTAGATAACGACTGTGTAATTTTCGGTATACTCTCAGTTACGAAATCTGTTGCAGATGGCAAGTATGTAGTACGAGTTTCAGTGTTTAGTGGAATTTTCGAATCTATTTCAAATATGGTTTTATCAAAAGTTGGAATTAAAGTAACATCACGCATGGACTCAGTTGTAACATCATTTTCTGTATTTAGTTTACTAACTTTATTTAAAGATCCATCTTCAGTTACAAAAGTAGACATAACCAAATTATTTATAATTTCCGGTGTAACGCCTGTTGGGTATTCTTTCGTATCCTGGTTTAGTGTTGATGTTATGTATGTTGTAGAAGTTTGTGCAGATGATCCTGCGGCTAATAAATCAGTTTCCTCTATATTGTTTTCTATAATTGAATTTACAATATCGTCATGTCCTGATTCAGTAGTTGCATCATTTAGATCGCTAACTTTATTTCCCCCTCTGTCTGGACTTAGAGAAGTAGATAACGACTGTGTAATTTTCGGTATACTCTCAGTTACGAAATCTGTTGCAGATGGCAAGTATGTAGTACGAGTTTCAGTGTTTAGTGGAATTTTCGAATCTATTTCAAATATGGTTTTATCAAAAGTTGGAATTAAAGTAACATCACGCATGGACTCAGTTGTAACATCATTTTCTGTATTTAGTTTACTAACTTTATTTAAAGATCCATCTTCAGTTACAAAAGTAGACATAACCAAATTATTTATAATTTCCGGTGTAACGCCTGTTGGGTATTCTTTCGTATCCTGGTTTAGTGTTGATGTTATGTATGTTGTAGAAGTTTGTGCAGATGATCCTGCGGCTAATAAATCAGTTTCCTCTATATTGTTTTCTATAATTGAATTTACAATATCGTCATGTCCTGATTCAGTAGTTGCATCATTTAGATCGCTAACTTTATTTCCCCCTCTGTCTGGACTTAGAGAAGTAGATAACGACTGTGTAATTTTCGGTATACTCTCAGTTACGAAATCTGTTGCAGATGGCAAGTATGTAGTACGAGTTTCAGTTTAGTGGAATTTTCGAATCTATTTCAAATATGGTTTTATCAAAAGTTGGAATTAAAGTAACATCACGCATGGACTCAGTTGTAACATCATTTTCTGTATTTAGTTTACTAACTTTATTTAAAGATCCATCTTCAGTTACAAAAGTAGACATAACCAAATTATTTATAATTTCCGGTGTAACGCCTGTTGGGTATTCTTTCGTATCCTGGTTTAGTGTTGATGTTATGTATGTTGTAGAAGTTTGTGCAGATGATCCTGCGGCTAATAAATCAGTTTCCTCTATATTGTTTTCTATAATTGAATTTACAATATCGTCATGTCCTGATTCAGTAGTTGCATCATTTAGATCGCTAACTTTATTTCCCCATGTGTTTGGACTCAAAGAAGTATATAAAGTTAACGATTGTGTAATTTTCGGTATGCTCTCAGTTACGAAATCTGTTGTAGATGGCAAGTGTGTTGTACGAGTTTCGGTATTCAGTGGAATTGTCGAATCTATTTCAAATATGTGTTTATCAAAAGTTGAAATTAATGTATCATCCCACATGGACTCAGTAGTCACGTCATTTCCTATATTTAGTTCGCTAATTTTATTTATAGATCCATCTTCAGTTACAAAAGTAGACAAAATCATATTATGTGTAAAATCCAGTGTAACCCCTGTTGGGTAATCTCCTATTACTTGGTTTTGTTGTGTTGCGAGGGTTTGTGCAGATTCTGTAGTCAATAAATCATTTTGTTCTGTGTTTTGTTCGTTCATTGTAGTTGAAGTAATTCCATTTAATGAATCTACAGTTATGCCATTTAAGATACTTATTTGGTTATACAAAATTCCCGATGTGTCTTGGCTATGAGAAGTGGATGTTGTCAATGATTCTGTAATTTCCGGTATACTGTCAGTTATAAAATCTACCGTAGATGGTAAATGTGTAGTATGAGTTTCAGTAGTTGCTTGAAGTTGAAGTTCTAATACTTGTTTGTCGTAAGATGAAATTAAAGTAACATCCTGCTTGGATTTTGTAGTAAGATCATTTTCTGTATTTATATAAATTATTTCATTAATAGATGGATCTTCAGTTACATAAGTAGACACTATTAAACTGTTTGGAAGTTCTGTTGAGTAAACTTGGTTTTGTTGTGTTGGTGGGGTTTGTACAGATGATTCTGTGGTTAATGAATCAATTTGTACTATATTTTTGTCGGTTGTTGAAGTCATAGTAATATAATTGATTGAATCTGCAGTTACATCATTTATTCCATTAAGTAAAGTACCTAATATATCTTGACTTTCAGAAGTATATGTTATTAACGATTCTGTAATTTTCGGTATAGGCTCTGTTGAGTAATCCTCTATATATTGAGTTAATGTTGAGGGTATACGTGTATAAGATGTTTGTATAGACGGTTCTGTAGTTGAAGTATTTATTTCAAGTATAACTTTATTGATAGTTGAAGTGAAAATAATGTTATTTATAGATTCCGTAGTTACTTCATTTTGAGTATTTACTTCACTTGTTTCTGTTATGCTGATATTTCTATTAGTGACGTTTATATTTTCATCATTTATAGTCGTAGTTTCATAGGTCTTATTAAAAAATACATTTTTTAAAATATCCGGTATAGTGTTAGTGTTATAAGTTTTTTCCTTTAATATGTTTTCTTCATGTATAAATTCTGTTATATTTTGTTTATGATCTTTATATGCAGTTTCATGCTTAACAGGTATACTTGGATTTACTATTGAATTACGTGTGGTTATATAAACATCTTCAGGACTATATTCCATAACTAATCTCACTTCTTTTATCTTTTCCAGTTCTGATAACGTCGTCATAACCACAGTATTGTAAGTTGAATCACCACTTATATCTTTCGAAAAAGTTGTAGTGGCCAGATTTAATGTTCCCGTAGATTTAGCTCCAAATACATCAATAAAATTCTTCACTTCACTAGTCCGTAACACAGGTGTTGTAGATGTTGGAAATTCACATTCATAAAAATTTGTTTTAAAACATACAGTTCCATCTGGGCACGGAATTATCACACTATCAATAGTTCTCAACGATCCTGTTCCTAAGTCTACACACACATTGAAATGAGTCGAATTGATGCAGTGGAAAGACTTGCCACGGCAGTCGACGTCCGCTGATGCCAATAGCAAAAAGCATGCTAGCATCTGAAACATAACATATAACCATATTAGCTAGGTAATGACAAAGAAACAAGTTTTGGTTGAAACTTCCTCCAAAATCTTTCAATCTTATAAGGTATTAACCTAACATACAACAACATAACATTTCGGCAAATTCGTATAACAGAAATTATCATAAAGTTAGTATGAAAGATAAAACCTTTCATATTTTATTATGTCGCAAACATACTAGAAGTGTGGCCAAATTAAAATTAAATAAGGATGTGAAAAAATAAACTTACCAGGAACAATATCCATTGTAGGTCGTTCATTTCGTTTTTTTATAGCGTGTAATAAACTTACATGTCTTACACACTTCGCTGCAGTTCCGTCGTTTATCTTGAACTATTTTCGTTGTAATGAAAATCTAATTTCCTCCGCAGACAATTTGTGGATATAAGCGCGTAATATTTTTGTTTGCTTTAGAGTTAAATACTTTACACGACTCAGTTGTGTGGCATTGAATAAACAACGTTGTCATAATTTATTTCCTCTGCTCTTATTTACTTCTAGTAATCTTATTACCCATATCCTTATATCTTTGTTTCTATAAAATTCGTATTACCAAAGATTAAATTTATATTAAAGTGGATGTAACCCGTGGCGATGTCCAGTGAATTAAAATATGGTGCGTAATCAAAATTGTGCTAATGAATTCAGAACGTCGCCAAGTAAACCGTAATTAAGTTTTTATTAACAAAATTAAAAGAACTTCTTGTGTCGAATACGTAAATTGATTGTTTATTACTTATTGTAGATACTACTACATACTTATAGGTACTAATTTCTAGAACGTTCCAAACAATCAATCCATTCTTTGAAAGACGTTAACCCTATAATACAACCATAGGGAGGTCTGTTGCTACTATGTGAGCCAGTGCTAGCAGGGAGTTGGTTTAATTCCTTGTGATCAGATATGTTGAAGCGTTTAGCAAACATATACATATATGGTAAAGCACGACTTCATCAAAAATCAGTATTGTGTAAAATGTTAAAGTTTTTATATGTTGTACATAAATTTATGATCGCCTACTTTTTGACCTATGAAAATATTTTAGGACTAGGTATTTCGGTAATATCTCTTTTAATAATATAAGATGTGAACAGAAACGAACTAACAAATACAAGTATCTCTACATACTTTCACTTTCATGTTTAGGTACTAGTAGGATAATTATAATCTTTCGCACACGTATCACGTTTCTACAATAGAATTTATTTGAAACCAATTGAAAAGTTTATTTTATTCTTAATGAGAATGGGACTCTCAACCTTATTTTTGAATTGAGTCTATTTACATTAAGCATTTTACTAATGCAACGTTTACAAAATCTTGTATTGATAGCCATGTACGCTAACATAGCAGCAGCGACAGAATCGTTGGTGCTACGGATATCCTACTGTCGAATACTATCACGCAGTGAAATTCTAAATATAGCAGGTAAGATGCGCATTTAAGGTGCTACCGGATCCAAAGTAGACACCTAGTTAAAGTTTGTGTCTATTGTTCGATATTAAGAATATTATCGGTAAAATCAGACAATTAAGAGGGCGTGAAGAGTCCTAACCAATCTACGGCTTTGCAAGTCATAATATACTTTGTTAATGGTATATTTTTATAGCATAGTTCTTCGAAATTCTCTGTAAATAAGTATAGTGTCTGGTGAAACACTAAATTTTAGCGATTATTAAGGACAATTACCATTCTTCGTCGCCGTCGCTTTGTAATTTCCTTTGCAATAATAGAAATAAAAAGCCCACAATTAGACAACAGTTTATTTAAATAAGGCTATTAAAACATACACCGGGTTCCGGGCCATAGAGATCGAACTTTTGTCATATACAGAGACACCGCAGCTAATATTGTCCAAATGACAGTAATTCCAGCCAAAACTACACTTAAAATTAATAAGGCACTCTTTGGTCCATTTTCTTGATCTACTAAAAACAATATGCATAGACAAAATACAAAAAGAAGGATGCCAGAAAGGGTTTCCATCGTACTATGAATTTTCGGCCATTTCCGCAACCCTACGAAGTCTTGAACAGTAGTTTCCCAACATGAAGTAATGGCGCCATATCCAAAACCACCGATGACGCATGCTATTGACAATAAATCGTGGTTGTCCGCTGCTGCTAGTACTGTAAACATTACAATATTCGATAGTTTATAAAAAAAATAACATCTACATAAAATTCAAGTACCTAAGGTGTTGTAATATACTTACAAAAGCATCCTCCGGTTGATATAATTAATCCAATTACTGTAACATATTTGAAATTTCTTTTTGGCGTTTGTGTTAGCCAAGGCGTGCATAACAGAAAACATATCCATGTGAAACCATGCAGAGAAAATAATAAGTTTATGTCTGTCATAGATATTTTTGGGTTTACTTGAGATGCAACCACTGGCATGAGCAGTAAGGCTATTGCTGATAAACTCAATTTGTAAAAACATAGAATAAGAGCTAGATAAAAACGCCAGCATGATAAAGATCTTGTCAATGGTTTAAAGAAAGTATCATTTATACTAGATGTGATATAGGCTAACCTACGTTTTAACCTATATATTCTATATGACGGCATTCGCATTCTTCTACGAAAACTAGTATACGCAGCCTGACATCGGAAATTAAAGGAATTAAATACTTTTTCTGTTTGTATATCTGTTACTGGTGATATATTGTCATATGTCACTTCTATTTCAGTATACTCTCTACTTATACTATCTCTATCAGCTTGTGAATCTCTTTTGGCTTGTTTCATTATATATTCATCAAAGCTATCACCTATAGTGCTCAGTCTTTTTATAACATTGCTAAATCGTTTTTTATTTAAATTGCTTTTATTTTTATCATTTACGTTCCCCTCGTTATCATCACTATCCTCACTTTCTTCTGGTATTTCTGGAAGAATTTCCACACCAAATATATTTCTTCTCTTTTCCTCGGGACTTGGAGGTGGTGTTATGGTGCTATTATTATCCTGATCATATTCAGAAGTATCAGCGCTTAGATCAGATATAGTAGCTTCTCGGTGTAGATTATCGTCAGAAGGACTTTTCCAACATTTTTTTCCTAAATCATGTAGTTGCAATTCATTTGTATAACCATTTACGATTACTTCGTTATTAAAAATAGCATAAGTTTTGTCAATATACGAAGCAGGTCTTTTTCTGATGGTTTCATCAATTTTCAACATCATGATAGCTGGTAATGTTTGAAGTATTATTCCACCCAGCACTATATATGAATATGAATATCCATAGCAGTCTATGAAAAATGTTACTATATGTGGAAATATTGATAGTCCAATCGCCTGTCCAGCGAAACATAGGCCTCGAATTGTTCCTAAGTTAATATCGTATGTATCAAAAATGACTGCGTCCACTTGAGCTGACAACAAGGATGATCCAAAACCTAAAAATTACAATTGCATAAAATTACAGTAGAATAGAATAGAATAGAAAATCATTTATTCAAATAAACTTACATTGAAGCACTTTTGAATAGTCATAACATTTTTTTTTTTTTTATATCTACCGCTCATTCGGAATGCTGTCTCATCACAAGAAGAACAATTCAAGAAAATTGTGTGATCTTTAAATAATTTATTCTTACTTACAATTTAAGTTTAAGTGTGTGAATACAAACCGTCATGAAATTTTTGCATGAATACATAACCAACTGGTTAAACAATTAATAAGAGGTCCAGTCCCTACACGCAGCACCCGTTCACGAGTATGACGGATGAGCCAGCCATCACATGCGCTCGACCATATTTTAGGGAGCCCAATGACCCGGCCCACCACGCCGCCACAAGTCTGGACATTTTAGTGAGCAACTTCAAAACATACCATTTAAATAGTACTCACAATTACACACAAAAGCAGTTTCATTATAAGAACACTTCTAATATTCTAGGTATCTATTCTGTGATCTCTGACGAACAACGTGATTTTTCGTGTGCATGCATACATAGAAAACACCCAGATCAATACAAACAATTATAGGTACTCATGATTTAAAATATTTTACACCGTGTGTGAAATTGAACCAACGAGCATAAAAAGTATGATGTAGTAAACTACTAAACCACCGAATCAAATTAGTCAAACGTTCTCATGATTTGTAGTTTAGCATATATCCAGTATATACGAAATTATAATATCTCAGGACAATTTACACAGTGCCATCTAAGTTAAGCTAAGCTTATGTTATGGGTACAAGGCAACTGTTATATAGGTAAATACATAGATTTTTTTTGTAAATACATATTATATATAATATACATAGAAAACACTCATATCGATAGAAACAATCATAATCATGAATATAATTGTTTGTCTTGTGCGAGTAATCAAACCGGTGACCATCGGAAGGAAGGCGTTGTGCTAAACCGCTAGACTACCGAGACCGTCAATATGTATGTTTAGCATCCAAATATTTGTCATATATCTTTAAATTATCTATGTAAGTAATCAATGTCATATGAAGTAGGATCTTAATGCCTGACAATATGGCGGAATCTTTACTTACCACCACATATTCCGTAGATGTAGGGGTGCAAGTTGTACGGTATGAAGGCACATATTAATAAGCTAAGTACTACCAACATCAACCCTATGGATGCCATGATACGGTACCCCACTGTACCACCCCAAGAGTCTGCGGCATCTCTGCACCAACATTCTGAAAACGAAAATATTAAATAATGTCATTTTATATATTAAAATAATTATTTAGTTACAAACCTACCATGATTCCAGTACGAAACTAATATTTTATATTATTTTAATATCTATTAGTCAATTGTTTATTATATGAGAAACCTACTCTGGCTACTGAGATAATATTAGAATTGAGCTTACTCAATTCAATTAGCTTAACAAATTTAAAGTAATTATAAAAAGCCCTAGGCAGTCCTCTTATACTACCTAGATCTTTTTATACTTACAATACTGAATTAGTTCAGCTGCCTAATAATTATCTGTAGTTATGATAAGTTTAGTATAAATGCATACATTGTTTAAAAAGGTAGTAGGTACTCAATTCTTATTATTATTATGACATGAACATTAAAACAATGTCATATGTATATTGCTATCAGACTAGCGGACCTAGGAGACGTCCAGTCCGGTTTGTCTTTTCACACCATCCAGGAGCTCTAATATACTTACACACAAATTTTTATTCAATTCGTTCCAGCCGTTTAGGACGAGTTAGTGACAAACACATACCTACCAATGAATTATATTCCTCTTGTCATTATTTAAGTTGGACGAAAACTGTGTTCACATTTTTAAGTCACGTAAATTAAGGTACATAAATATAAAAACCTTACGTGTTAAGCTATATGTTAATAATGAGATAGTGGGTGTTGAAAGTCCCATCCATATTGGAACCCCGAAATTTGCTGAGTTTACCAGTAGCACCCCATACGTGTATACAAGACTCGGTAGACAAACCTGAAATGTAAAATATACACACATGAAAATCCATTATTCTTATAGTAGGTATTGCTATACTTATTGGTACATACTTATAGGCTTTTGAAGGCTTGAATGGGCAGCGAACAAACAAACAAACTCACTTACTCATATAATATATATATGAATAAGTGAGTATTAATATTAATATACATGCTAATGGTGTATGATATGATAAACATGAAGACAGGTCAGTTAGAAAGACACCAGTCATTCACTGCGATGGTAGATGAAATGATTTCAAGGGAGACAGTGTGGAAGTCTCTGTCTATAGTCCGTACCTACATTGCCAGAAGTGGTGTCTATACTCCCCGTTACTAACAATCTTCTTCCCCATTTAGTAACTAGTTTTATAGCTGTATTATACCAATTATATTTATTTATATACATCTTTCACTTCATTATATCATTTTTGCCCTTGTCTGCATAGGTAATTAAATGTACGTTTGCATTCCATTATTATAATAAATAATTCGCTTTTTAGATAAGTCATTGCCCTAAACATAAATGATATTAAGATAACACTTTAATATTGAAAGAACGACGCAATAGCATAACAGATAGGTTTGTTTCTTGTCTTCGTAGCGGGCAAATGACGCATAAGTATCTATTAGATATCCTTAATACCAGCTGCAAATTATGCACCTACCTAAACTTAGTCAAAGTTCTTTATACATATAAAACTCTTTCGACTACTTATACAAATGATATTTTAACACTATCCCTGTACAAGTGTCTCTGTGTATAAATGTTGTCAGCTATAGGTACACAAGAAACTAATTAAGTACCAATCAATCATAGCGGCCATGCGGCAACGCGTAAATTTTGGTATTATCAAAATGATAGGTCTCGTGACTAGCATTACAGTTTTCATTTATGTATCTGTCTACGTATTCATATTATCTAATGTTACAGAATATATGAATACACATAATAGATAGTACACATACGGATAAGTACTGCATAATGTTATGCTGCAACATTCAGTAAATTTATGATTAATACTGCTGAGATTTAAGTAGTAGTTCAACAATTTTTCGCTGTAGGAATATTGCTATGTTTAAGTTATAATAAGGTTATATAAAATTATATCCATTTTTTGATATAATTTTATAGTGGTATAATATTATATATTATTAAATAATAAAATTATAATGACGCCACGGAATGTTCCAGAAGTGAAAACATGTACCTACCTAACAAAAGAACATAGATGTTCCATGCGTGACGTTCCAAATTTGAATTTTATTTTTAAATGTATTATATGGCTATTTGCGATCGCAAACAAATATATTAAAACCAAAGAATTTATTATTTAGTACTTAAAATGTATTATTTAATTACCTGTCATACTTTTCATTCAGGTCTTCTGATAACGAAAATAATGAGCTAAACATACTTTGTAGGATGTAGATTTATTTTGTAGGATGGCATAAGGAACGGTTCTAGACCCACTGCGAAGTGGAGAATAATTAACCACTGATGGGTGGGTACCTACCGGGGGAGACCGCGTTGAGGTCATTCTGATTAAACGTTTATTATAAACTATGTAATATTATGTTATCTGTGTTATAAACTAAGTGTAAATGGAACGCTAAAAGAACTAAGGACCAACTTCTAATATAAATCTAATCATACTGTGATCACATCTCTAAAACTACTCAATTAACAGCTACTAATAATATATCTATAAATATTGTAATTAGATTTGTTTCCGTAATCGATACCGGTGTTATAGTACAAAGAAAGTATTATCTACATTTACTTACATTGGATTAAGTATTTTATCGTAATTATGTACCCAATAATAATGTGTCTAGATGATTGGTACTAGTACTACTTATTATTATAATTATTGTTTATATAGTTATTCCTGCGACATATAACCTAACTTATAGAAATTATATATCATTATCCGAAATAATATCTCTCTTTGAGCGTTATACGTGATCTATAAACAATAGAAAAAAACTGGCACGATAGACAATTTTGAACGTTGCAAAGCAGGTCACGTGGTCTGCAGTGCGTGATACAGAAGGATCAAAATATATAGAAAAATATACAAAACCGAAAGCTTAACGCATCTTAGTGAAAATTTAAATGAACGAAGTAGAGCACCTTTTCATATTCATCAATAAAAATAAAATTTTGACTATAAATATTTTTGTTGGTCTGAGTATTTTCTATGTAGGTACATTATAAATGTGTTTACAAAAGAATAAATATTTTTGTAGATATATACCTATCAAATGACTAATACCCAGAACACAAGCTTTGATTAACTTGGAACAATATTGAAATAATAACGAGATACGATATAGTAATTACATCACCATCCCCGTATCCTAACAAAGAAACAAGACACTCTTGCCCTAGTGTAGGTATATGAGGTAATACACTATAGCAAGAATAGGAAAATCTATAATAAACCCTACGCACAAGTGCCAGATCGTCAGGACAGTATTTATACAGTGTCTGTTAAATTGGGAGATATACCGAGTGAAATGACTTAGATTTTAATAGATATTATTAATAAAATAGATATTATTAATCTATCAATATATTTTTTACAATAACAGAATTTATTAGTCAAATACAATTATGTATATGAACCTCTATGTTCATTCAACAGTGTCTACCACGATAATGAACTTTATGACGTCGTCGGAACAAACAAAAATATAGTAGGTAAATAAACTGAGCCTGAATTTTAAAAATATATATTCTTATCGTATATTAAAACATTAAAGACCATTGTATAACAAGTAATCGTATTTGTTTCGATAAAATATATCGTACTAATAAGGATACACTAATAAATTATAACAATTAGAGCTCTTTTTTATCGGCCTAATGCTGTTGGCAGCTGGCCTTTACAGATTGACCGGACGATGGGAGGTGAATCCAGATGGCACTCCTAACCCGCGGAAGGACTTATGGCACGGCTGAAGGCTAGCTCCCGCCTGACAGATAGGTATGAATTTAGTCTGAGGGTAGGAATAAGACTCCAGTAGGGGTTCAAACATCGACTCAGGCCGTCGTAATTTCGATCCCCGTTTGGATTGGACTGGGGATTGATCGTCTTTATCTAGTAACTTGAGCACCCATGCGATATATTCAGATTCAGTATTTATAATAATATAATTGAAATCTTAAACGTCTCAAAAGTTTCAGTATATTTACCTATACAATTGCCATTTCTAACTATAAAACGAATTAAATGTATAATAGAATATAGAATACGTACATTCAAGAAGACAACGGAAACCAAAAGCGGCAAATTCCACGTCGAAACCTCTATTCGTCTTTTAATATCCATTTTAATAATATTTCTGCCCGCATTTTCCTCTATGTATAATTGTCATCATGGAATATCCTTAATTAGAAATGCACTATATTTAACTGCACTTATACAAACACTGTTACAATACGGTCATTTTCACAACACTTTGCAAACAGTATCAGCAACATATGCCTATATATTCTGAACTATATGAACACTTAGGTATAACCGCATAAGAGAGCATGTCGTCCTCAAGTATTGACAGGAGTCAATTACGTCGAACGTGTTATCAGAAGGCCCAGCACATACCTAGTTACTTCGCTTTATCTTATCTTCATGACTAAATAACTCAATATAGCTAATTCAAATTATAGCATTTCAGTAGTATGAAAAATACTAATTGGAAGGACGTCGGTTAACAAGCAACTGTCTATTAATAGTCATCCTGACGAAATCATGAAATAGTTTGATAAACGATGTATTTACGTATTATCTATCTGTAAAACACTATCTCTGCAAAGGTCGTAGCCGTTGCCCATTTAATTACACTTACCAACTTGTTTACTCTTTGGAGTTATATATACCTACCTATCATTATTAACTTGTACTATATCTGTCTATATGTGTAGGAAGTTTGCAAAAGTTACTTACACAATTGATGTAATTTCTAACAGTATCCATCCAGTTCCAATATCTACTTGTACATAGGTACCTGCCTATTCTTATTCAAACATTTGTCAGAAGTTAGGTATTTAAACAGGGCAATCATCTAATTAGTTTTTTCAGCCAAGTCAAGCAACTTGTTTCAATACAATTTGCCGATAGCAGAGATATTGTAGTTAAATTAAGTACGACTTAATCGTCAAGAATTACAGATCACCTAGTAAATAATATTCACGTGTGTCGGGCACTACAATATATATGTGTAAAAAGACACCCGATACGCGACAGTGCCAATCAGAAAGTCGTACAGAAAAATCATAATCACATAACATTTATCATCGAAACAAGCGCAGTGTGATTTTTACATACATACAATTAGAATAGTAAACAATCTGCAAGCGCCCCACCTGGAAATGGTAATCATCGCCTACGTACAGTACGGTCATTACTTCGTAAGAGGTACCCTTTCTTTGACACGTGGAAAAATATTCACAAAAACAGTCTCCCGCCGGAGAGATCGGAGGCAATGCTCGAAGAAGTTTACTAGTAGTAGGTGGGGTCCCTTTGTGTCTACTTTTAGTTTCTTTGTTGTAATTTCTTTAACTATTTATATTAATGTGTTACAAACATTATTACAAACTTTTATATCTATAATATATAATAATTATTATAAATATATAAATAAATTTCGGATCTAGTACAAGTAGCCGAGTATATACTCTGTTACTTGTAGATATATATTTACAATGATGAAAATGCAGACTAGCAAAAATTATATATTTTTTTGTATTTTATTCCACAAACGCTGGTTAGACGGAAAAATATGTAATTGGAATATATTGTGTTTTAAAACCAAAAGATTTTCCAGTCACTTTTTACATTACTAATGACAAGTAATGACAGTTGTCAGAAACTCAGAAATATGACATTTTATATTTGACATATCAATCCAATTCCAGAGCAGAGCCTGTGTTTTTTAGTTTGATTTAAATTTACAATTAAAATTAATTAAATAAAATTTCCCACTCAATGTTATTTTTATAGCAATACAATGGTTAATGAAGAATTATTACAAGATTATTCAAATTCTATTCAAAGCCTAAAGAGACAATGTATAGAAAGAGGCATGTCAGAAGAAGAATTCAAAAACTTATATTATCATAGTCTTAATTCAATTGAAATACAAAACAATTCATTGATACGAAACCGAAGCCGACTGGCTAAAAAACATATACTTTTATTGGCAGTGTTAATTATTATTTGTTTTGTTTATAATTATAAATTTTTATACAGTTGTCTAGTATGTAATTTGCAAGAATATATATATCCTGGATTGAGATTATTGAGGAGAATATCCATTCCGTTTATATCACTCTTCCCTTCCTTAACTGGTAACGATACAAAACTATTATATTATTTTACTGCTATGTACCTAAGCCTTTTTTATTCTATACATTTTAATAGAAAATATATCATTTCAGATTACTACCATGAAACTTGTTTGATACAAAATCCTTTTTTTACGGTTGTGGATATGGATTGTTGGCCTTGCAGTACAATACATAATGTTGGAGAAGTCCAAAATCCAAAGCCAGTAACCCAACAACTGACTGCACCATTTATATATGAGGTCATTATCCCTAGTTTAATTAGTTTTATTGCATTTAGAACATAAGGGCTTATACTAATTCTAAAATTTATTAATATTTTCTATCTCATTGTTATTCTGAAAAATGCTATTATTTTTGTATATATTATTGTAACTGTATCAGTAACAATATTCACATTGTATATGCCAGGTATAAGACATCAGATTCATTAATTATATTAATATAAACCATATAACTTTAAAGCATTTCAAAAGAGAGCAAAAGGTGCTGATAGTTTTCTTCTTGTTTCAAATTGTGGGTCTAAAATTACTGCTTTATATTATGTAATTTTACTTTAATTACAGACTGATCAACAAGTGATAAATATGGAAGCATTAAAAGATATGTATGAGAAGAATAGAAATATTTTTGACAAAGAATCTTCAAAAATATTAGCTAATAACAAACATTACATTAGCCCATCCATAATGTTTTCATATGAAGAAGAAGCAAAAAGTTTATACACATGGTATGTGTGTGCAATCATTTTTATAAATCCACAACATTATTATGTAGGCAGACAGGGTTGTTAGTAATAGGTATTTGTTTGTATTGCTGACAATGTACCATTTCAGGTTGACAAATAAATTCTTCATTCTATTATCATCCATTAACAAAAATATTGCTGTATAAAGTATAATTTGGTGTAAGGTGTGAGAACTGAGGGAAGAGTATTGTTACCAATGGGCTGTTATAAATGACCCTATGCTAGCACCATTAGACTACATGCTCATAGTCCCTTCAAAACTGTAATAGTTAATTCCTAGTAAATTCATTACAATGGCCTGGCTGACCTGACTTCTATAAAATAACCACCTAAGAAAACATTATTTTACTATTTATGCTAGTTTTATTATCTATTTTAGGAAATTAAACACCATGAATGCAGCAAGAATATTAAGGCAAATAATTCCCAGGCCAAAAGTTGTACCCAAGTTTGGACAAAGTACAGAAAGATTTATTATAGTTGATGCAAAACAAGATACCTTTCAAATTCCTGACACAGAGTGTAACTTTTCTTTTTTGTTAATTTTAAGTGGAAGTAGAAAAGTACATTTAGTTCCTGCTGAAGAGTGTAAACATCAATGCAAAACCTTAAAAGTGGATTTAAAGGAAACTTATTTATGTAAGTACTAATTCAAATGTCATTTGTTAAAATCCTTATTCTATTTTAAAAATAATTATATTTTAGAAAAGAATTTAATAAACTATGATTGTGGATATGGTGAAAAAATTTAATGCAATTAAATTAGTTTATTGTGATGAATAATTAAATTAGATGATAGATATAATTATTATAAATAGAAATGTTAATTGTTTTCAGACTATAGTAAAATAGTATTATACCATATACTTAATATAATTTTTATAATTGTTACAGTATGGTATAATTGGTGGTACTGGAGACCTGTGTTACAACCTTCATTTGGAAATGAAACACTTATTGCACATGTTGGGTCTTATTGTTGATATTAATGTAAATAAAAAAATGAAATTGTTGGAATGTACAAAACACCAATTTAATAACATATTATATTAATATGAAATGCCATAAATAAATTTTACTAAAAAACAACATAAAATTTGTTTTAATCAAACTTCTTTCTTAACTTGTCCTTCATAAATACTGGCACCAGTGAGATTAAAGCAAAAATACTAAGAACTGTGACAGATGTCCATGACCATGCATCTCTTGTTGATGTCAAGGTGTGCAAGGTTTGACCAGCTTGTATTGCTACAAATGATGGTGGAGCCACACCTACAAAAATTACAGAAGATTAATAAAGTATTTAGTACAAGGTTCTAGTATTGGTACAAGAGTAATTAAAATATCTCATATATTTCAGTCACTAAGCAGGTTACTTCTTAAGGTGTGTTTGGGTTGAACAGAAAGATAAAGCAATGAAATTACAGGAAATTGAGATATGCCATCTTAATCCTCCGGAATAACTGAAGGCAATATAGGTGATAATTACCATTTATCATCAGGTTAAAAAAAAGACATCTCAACTCACCAATGAATGTTCCTAATGCAAATGGCACTAAAGGCACACCAATCACAGGAGCTGTCATGTTAATGAACCAGTTTGGCAAAAATGGCGTGACTCTCAAAAATATTATATAGTTCAATAGATTATTCTTGTGCTTCTCCACAGTCAATGACCATTGTGCAGCTTTCTCTGGGAAAAATTTCTTAACCAGTTTCTTCCCAAGAAGGTTTGACAAGAAAAAACATAAACTAGCTCCAAGAGCTGAACAACAACAAACCAAAAGTAAAGCTAAATAAAATGGGAATAAAAACCCTGAAAGTATACTTAAAAAAATAGATCCAGGTATTGCAAATGTTTGCAAACTGACATTATATTAAGGACTGACATAATATTACAAGTTATATAATTATTCTACTATATTATACTCTTACATTCATTTCTTCACCACTCTTATATTATTTTTTTCAATTCTACTCTTAATTTAACTGATATAAATACGTGTTTTTTAATCTCTTATCTAATATACATAAAATTCACCCAGAACAATACAATCAATCATAATCATAAATACAAATGTTTGTAGCATATGAGGAATTTAACCCGTGACCATAGGAAGTAGTGTGCTAAAACATTAGACTACCGTTTGACTGTCAAATTAGACTTATATGAAGTAGCTTCAATGGATCCATGTTAGTTGTGATATTTTACTCATTAACTAAGTAAGTGCTTACAGTACACAATCATCATTTCTGCCCGGAAGAAGTAAACAGTACACAATAGTTTCATTTAAATATTGCTCAAATGTAAATGCACTTAATAAAAAAACAACATCATTAATAGGAATTTCCCTTGCTTACAATTAATATATTTTTTATAAATCAATCGTTTCAAATATTATAATATTTGAAGCTTTAAATACTGATATACCAATTTAAGTTAAATAGTAGAAAAGGATACAATATATATACTAAAAATACTCCAAACATTACTTCATAGAAGTATTTGTCTTTATATCTGTCTAATACTAGACCCAACTGTTTTGCATCCTCCAAATCCCATGGCAATTTGATATGTTGCTTTTCATGGCTGAAATATTAAAAAAACATTTTAGAGTACTTTCAAACTCCTCAATAATAAAGCAATGAAATGTATATCATAAACTTACTCTTCTAATTCTGGAAATTGTCTATAAATGAATGCTAATGTACATAGTGAGGAAATAAATATTATTATGACTAGAACCAAGGCTTTAGACGTTGATAAACTATGTGGATGTGTTTTTACAACAGTATTTGACCCTGAAATAAAAATAATTACAGTCAAATTTAAAATTGCAAGTAATTAAAAAAAAGAAATTATACTATATAGACCATTATGTATATTATAGATCTTCTCAGTCCTGTTTCTTTATACTTCTAGTTAATAATGAGTATATAAACCTTATCTTGTTTTCTCTACCTTAAGTTAAATTATATTATATTATAGAAATGAGATAAGAAATATTTGCTTCTTATTAATATATGTAACATATATATTTTTTATTCATTTCAAATTCTAACACAGCCTTTTCTACACTAATATGTATTTATAAATTATACAAATGTGGAAACTCATAATGAAACTTGACAGATAAAAAAGAAGTGTACATGGGCAAAAAGGTTGTTCTGTTATGGAGACGGATAATAGGAGGGATATAGGTATTTTGAGAGGTTTATATTGGGGTTATTAAGAAATTGATGTAATGAATTTGTAATAAAAAGGACACACATTGGGAGTAGGTACTTGGGAGAGGATAGGACAGTCCAACACAGTCATTCCTTATATTATTTATTCTTGGCTTTATGATAGTTTGGTAAGTTTTGCGTGTCGTTGACGAAACAAGGGGGTCTTGAACATCACCTTGACCGTTTTTGTTTCGATTGTTTCCTATTCTTCTTTCAACTGTGTTCATGGTTGTGACCTATATAACAAATAGTAGTTTTCACTTATAAAATTATCACTTTTCCAAACTGAAACTATTTGTTTTATTTAATATATGAAATAAATAGTAAAATAAATATTACATAAAAGTAGTAACTTATCAGGAAACAACATGAGTTTACTTGATTTGATGAAATTGAAACAATGAAATAGAATTGTCATTAAATTCAATACTCATTTTTAGCCTGTAATAAGTGTTCATTCAAGCTGTCAGTGTCATAAGATGTTATGAGTATCACAGAGTAATTTTCATGACGCTGACAACTTGAATTAATAATGACTGACAGTTTAATGTTAGAATTTATGTTTTCTTCTGGTATGGCATGCACTCCGATTGTTGGGTATTTCGCCATGTTTGAGTTTAATAGCTGGCTGAAGTATATTTTACAAAAATATAATAGATGCATGGATTCGAAATGTCTATAATTCTATACGTAATAACGATTATAAAGTATCAAAAACATTCTTTACATACCGTTACCATTATACACCACACCGTATACATACCGCCGATGAATTGAAACCTATTAAATGAATACAAAATCTAAAACTCTTGTATCAATAACTTGACTGGACTAACCTATAGCTGGCTGGCTAATTCGTTATAGCCCTGAACTGACGGGTCAGCTTTAGTCTCCAACGCATATTTATTATATTCCGTGTATGTAATTATGATTTTGATATCAATTGTAAAATTATATAATTTGTTTCTAAAAAGTTACCTACAGCTAAATTTCTTGTGCTTATTCTGCGTTACATTTTTTTATAGAATAATACGAATAAAAAAATATTGAATACGTCAAAATTAGGCGCATGACGATAAATTTATGTGGTGAAGCTCCTCACTTTATCATTTTCAGCTTACAAGTAGGTACTTACATTTATACGTATTCATCATTACTTAGATTACATTATAAATAATAGGTGTGTATTTCAAATACATATAACGCACAAACAACACATGACACCAATCGACAAAAGTATACAAATATCGCCCTGTGTATTTTTATTTTAATAGTATTTATGGCCAGACTATTCTGGCCATAAATACGGTTACAATTAAAAATAAAAAATATGTTACATTTGAATTTCGAATCTATTATTTCTTATGGTTATAAATGTTTTCGCGAAAGGGCGGGAAACACAAAGTTTGGCGGTCGTATTTTTTGAGTAGTAAATTATTAATATTTGAATATTGATCAGATAAGTTGTAAATAGTGTATTTTTCATTACATTCATTTATCTATTATTCATTAGTTTATTACTAGCAGCAATATTAGGTAAGTCTCTGTATTTTATTATATATGGACCCACCGGAGGACCCCGGGGGTACCGCCCCCGAGGTCGCTCTACTCGTAACTATAAGTAATAATGAAGATTCCATGGACACAGACTGTTCATTTAATTTATCTGATCATTCGGGTACAAAACGTAAGCGTAAATCTGCAATAGCGAATATTTGTAAGCATTGCAATAAAAAACGTAGGAGGAATCGAGGTGCTGACACTAGTAAAAATAAATATTCATGTCTATGCGATGATTTTAATGAAAAAAAAGAAACTTCCAATACATATTTAGTAAATAATGAGGATAAACAAGAAACTTCTAACCCTGGTTTAATAAATAATCAGGATAATGATTCAACTCGCCCACAAACTTCTATTAGTAGAGTTTACTACCAGTCCCATGATGCTGCTCCATTCATAGTTCATATTCAAAAGATTCTGTCTTCACCGGATGATAAAACTACGCTTCACCCAATAGACTTTGGCCGTTATCTTAAAAAAAGCTTTTACAAAAATGTTGTTGTTGATGGTAGTCTTAAAAAAATTGGCAGGAACAGATTATCCATATCATTCTCACAATATAAGGATGCAAATTCCTTCATAGATAGTGCAGATTTAAAGAAATATAACTATAATGCTTTCATACCAGCTTTCAACTTAACTAGAATGGGATTAATAAGGGGTGTCCCTGTTAACTGGTCTGATGAGGAAATCATAGAGAATATTTCTGTACCATTAGGATGTGGTAAAATATTAAAAGTTAGACGTCTGAAGAGAAAAACATTTGTTAATGGGATATCTGAATTCATAGAGACAGAAACCATTGTCATAACTTTTGATGGACAGGTACTACCCAAACGAGTTTTTATATGTTATAATTCCATACCTGTTGATTTATATATTTACCCCACTATTCAGTGTTATAATTGCTGTCGATATGGACATGTTAAGAACCAATGTAGATCTGTACCACGTTGCTATAAATGTGGCAAGGGCCATACTGGTGAATCCTGTTCTGTTGAAGAAGATAACTTTTCTTGCTGTATATGCCAAGGTGGACACCAGGCAAATAGCAAACAATGTCCAGAACTGTCTAGACAAAAGGCTATTAAAGAGACAATGGCAAAAAGCTGTGTATCTTATGCTGAAGCCAGTAAATTACACCCTCCTACTATGAAACCATATGCTGATATAGTTCGATCTAATCCAGTAAATAAAAATAATTCTACTAGTTTTAACCAGGATAAAAATCACTATACAATTCCCACACTTATGCATAGATCATATAAAAAAACAGTTATAGAAAAGTCTCGTCAACCACCAAAACCAACATATGGTTTTAATCGTGAGGAATATGCTAATTTAATTAAAGACTACAGTCCACCTGCTCCAGCAGATGGATGTGGTTATAAACAGCAAAATGAATCGAAACAATCCATTTCTGAAATAATAATAGCTCTTTTAAATTTATTAACCCAGTGTAACTTCTTACAACCGTCCAACGTTGCTTCACTTACTAATGCATTTATTAATATCTTAAACAACAACAATAATGGACAAACAAGCCAAAGTTCTTCAGTGGAACTGCCGCAGTATAACTAGCAAAAAATCTGATTTGTTTTATTTAATTAATACTTATAAACCTTTTATCTGTGCTCTTCAAGAGACTTGGCTGAAGCCGGTATCTTTATTTAAGATACCTGGTTATGCCTGCCTCCGAGAAGATAGAGCTGATGGATATGGTGGGGTTGCCATATTAATCAGGCATCCCTCAACATTCACCCATATACCTATTTTAAATCACAGTAATAACTTCTCACTTATTGCTGTTAAAGTTGATAATACATGTTATGTTTCGGTATATATTCCACATCCATCCATATCAATATTCAATGAAATTAATTCTATAATTTCTACACTGCCTAAACCATTTTTAATTTTAGGCGATTTTAATGCGCAACATCAATATTGGGGTAGTTCAAACAATAACTGTTATGGTAATGAGGTTTTAGACATAGTAGACATTCACAATTTATGCATTTTAAACACTGGCACACCTACACGTCGTACAGCACCCAATGAAGGCACTAGTGCTCCAGATCTGTCAATATGCACACCTAATTTAGCATCAACTCTTATTTGGCAAACACTAAGCTTATCCTTTGGCAGTGATCATTTCCCTATATTGATTCATTTTCCATTTAATAGAACAATAACAAATTATTCTCCAAGAATGAAGTATAATTTAAGTAATGCTGATTGGGATATGTTCCTTAATTTTATCACACACAAAATATGTACACTTCCATTAATATCAGTAGGGAATGAAAATGAGTGTTCTGATGCCTTTGCAACACTATTATTAGAGGCAGCAGATGGTTTTTTTCCAAAAAAAGGCAATAGCAGGGGACGGATTCCATCACCACCTTGGTGGGATAATGAATGTACACTGGCAATTAAAAAAAGAAAAGAGGCAGAAAAAGCATACAACTTTTATTCTTCATGGGATAACTTTAACATTTATTCAGAAATTTTAAGAAATACTAAAAAACTGTTAAGAGAGAAAAAGATTGCTGGATGGAAACATTTCTGCTCATCCATTTCCCCCAACACTAATATATCTCAAGTTTGGAGTAACATAAGACGGTTTAGACATGCTTTTAATGTTTCTAGACCTAATTCTCTTATGCCCAGTCTTGTAGAATCATTTTTAGACAGGCTAGCCCCTGCATTTGTTTCAGAAGATCTATCTTTGGTTTACCCTGATCCACCTCAGTTAAGTAATATGACTCTTGAACCACTTGAAATACCCTTTAGCCTTGATGAATTGAAAAGTATACTATCTAAGGTTAGGGATTCCACTCCTGGTAATGATGGGATACCATATTCCTTTATTACACATCTTGATGATAGCTCTCTTAACTATTATCTAAAACTCATCAATACTGTAGTAGATACTGGTAACATTCCAAAGTCATGGAAATTACAGCAAATCATACCCATTCTTAAAACAGGGAAACCTTTATCTGATCCAGCATCTTACCGTCCAATAGCTCTGTCATCTGTCTTATTAAAACTGACAGAACATTTAGTAAAAAACCGATTAGAATGGTTTGTAGAGCATAACGATTTGCTATCTAATAGTCAATATGGTTTTAGAAAAGGAATGAGTACACTTGATAGTTTAAGTATATTTACAACAGATATCCGTTTGTCATTTACTGAAAATAAATCGACAATAGCAGCTTTTTTAGATATTAAAGCTGCCTACGATAATGTCTCTATAACAGTGCTTCAAAATAAACTCAATGCTTTAAATATTCCTCCTAGGTTAACAAAGTTCATTATAAATATGTTATCAGAACGGTCGATTAATCTTGAAAATAGTAATCCTAGTTGTAATTCAAACTTCAGAGTTCTTTGGAAGGGCCTTCCCCAAGGCTCTGTTTTAAGCCCTATTTTATATAACATATATACTTATGACTTAGAAAATTCAGTAACCGACCCAACTAACAAAATAAACATTTTGCAATATGCAGATGACATACTGTTTTATGTCATTGACAACTCTGTTCAGAAATCGTGTACAGTTTTAACTTCAGCATTAGAACGTTTAGGAATTTGGTTACAATTAAATGGTTTGGAGTTATCCGTTACAAAAAGTACTATTGTCCATTTTACAAGAATGCGGACACCGCCACCAATCTCTATTTATTATAAAAACATTTTAATTCCGGTAAAATCTCAAACAGTATTTTTAGGCTTATTATTAGACTCAAAACTTACTGGACTTCCGCATTTTGAACAAGTTTCTTTAAAGTGTGAAAAATCACTGAATATATTAAGATGTTTATCTGGAGTATGGTGGGGTGCCCATCCATATTCTTTGAAACTTGTATATAATGCTATTATTAGAAGCATTTTAGATTACGGTACTTTTCTTTTAGACCCAAGTAATGGAGCTGGATTACGTAAATTAGATGCTATACAATCTAAAGCTTTAAGAATAATTACTGGCGCCATGAAGTCCAGCCCAGTAAATGCCTTACAAGTTGAATGTTGTGATCCTCCTCTAAATCTCAGACGACAATTCCTCGCAGATAAATTTTTATTCCGTATCTCTCAATATTCTAAGCACCCACTTCTCCCTAAACTACAAATACTGGCTCAATATTGTATGAATGCACATTATTGGCGAAATAAATCTAGTCCTTGTTTAGTCGAAAGTTTTAAAAAGTTATCTTCTCTTGACTCACCCACCTGTAATTACAGAAGGTTTCCTCTCTTCTGTGTACCTTATGAAGCATTAACCCTTATACCTGATGTTCATTTAAATATAAATATTACTAAAAATGATCCTAATGCAAATGCGATGTTTAACTATTTTATGAATGTCAATAAAAAAGATTACCACCATGTGTTTTGTGATGCATCTAAGCATAACCCTTCTGGTGGTGTTGGCGTTGGAGTTTATCATAAGCAATTTGATATAGTTCAAAAAATTAAATTGCCCCCAGAATCTTCAATTTTTACAGGAGAATGTTTTGGCATCTTTAAAGCCTTAGATTACATTTTAACTATGAAACTTAAACAATCAGCAATATTTAGTGACTCCATTAGTGCTTTACAGGCTTTACAAAAAGCTCCGTTCAAATCTAATGAAGTGTATCCCGTCATTATTGATGCTAGAAAATTACTACAGATGTGTATTTCGAAAGGATATGTAGTCTCTTTCTTTTGGATACCTGGTCATTCAGGTATTCAAGGCAATGTGACTGCAGATAGATTGGCTAGTGAAGCTATTGGGTGCGGCGATGTTTTTCCTTATAAAAATTATAGTCATGATTTGGCGGCTCTGCCTGTCTCTTATCTCCGGGATGCCTGGAATGAGACTTGGCCTATTAGCTGCCAAACCAAGGCCCGACATTACTTTAATATTCAACCCAAAATTCCGGTCAAACCTTGGTTTTATTGTGTTAAGCTTAGCAAACGCGCAACGACATCTCTTATAAGGATGAGATTAGGCCACATGAGTTCACCTTCACATTTGGCTAAATTAAAAATAGTGGACACCAATGTGTGCGATTGTGGTATAGACGTGGGTGACTTGAATCATATTATTTTAAGTTGTCCTTTATATGATCATTCTATTCTTTTTCAATCCCTCATTTACCTCCAGATTCCTTTACCTACTTCCGTTCCAATATTACTGTTCATGGATAAATTTGAAATATATAATTTTATCTCCATTTTTCTGAGTAGCAACAATATTAAGCTCTAATCATAATATTATTATATTTTAAATATAAGCATTATCTCATTTGGTATCTATTTTCTTATATATAAAACATCATTATATGTATTCAATATTAGCATTAATATTCATTCATAAAACATATAATTTTCAAACATTTATTTCATATCTCTCCTTAACTTCTCTGATCCATATCCCAAAATCCAAAACTATCCTATTCCAAGTCCTATAGTTTCCCAAACTTTGATGTTGGCAAATGCACAATAGTGCCAAGCCATGAAAAGAAAAAAAAAAAAAAAAATGTTTTCGCGCCAATCGGTTGTCAAATATTTTTGTGTGCATTACACAGAAAATAGTGCTGACTTCTTCTATTTTTCTCCGTTTAGAGGACTATTATTGCAGCCTGTGGAGATGATTTCTAATAAGCTTTATATGTGTATATAAACTATAATAGCTACTAGCCCCGGCTTCGCCCGGATGTACATGTGTGTGGATTTTCTTTGTAACAATATTTACAAGCAAGACTAAGTATATGCCATGTTTTAGTCCGTTGAAATGGGAGCGATAGACAAATTACAGTTTTCTGTATAGGGAGCACATATATTTATGATTTGTTTTTAAAAATTTGCAATATTAATGAGTTAGGCGGAGGAATATTATTCAAACTGTTCTATTTCAATGATTACCAAACCTCTGCGGTGCCTTTGTAATTATTATTGATACACGAGCACGAGTCTTTCTGATCTGTGTACACGAGCTGTCAGAAGTCTTGTAAAGTTATTCTGTTGATGTTTGAGAAGCTAACACACGACTTGCCCACTATTTGTTAACGGTGTCTATCATCATCCGAAAGTTGGCCAATGGCTAGCTGTTAATGTCGTCCAAATATGATGTGCTGCTAAATACGACGCATTTGTATTTCTATTCTATGTAATTAATTGTATTTAAATTCTGTACAAATAGATGCTTGCTTTGTTTTCCCCCATATAGAAATACCTAACCTACTAATGACATTCCATTGGTAGGTTAGGCATTTCTAGGAATGAATAGGTACGTCTCTATTTTTAATAACAAGTAAATAAAAAAACTATATTTGTGTATTATATACATATACGTGTTTGCCTTTGACAAAGATTTTAACTGGACATCCTAAATATCTAACTCAGTGCGTACAGTAAGTTTTTCATAGAGTTGATTTTTCAAACTCCATCGGTTGCAATTTAGTAGTTGCAGCTTTAGGAGAGCTACAGGCGCATCCTGCGTGGGAGGAGAGGGATAGGGGCCGGGGGCTTGGCAGTTGAATGAGATGGCACGACGCCCGCGCAACACACCGCATGACCGCAGACTTATTCCACGTCGCATGCGAGACGACGCGCCGCGTCTCTACCCACTTTAAACTACAAACTCTACGGCAAATAACGCTATAATCCCCAACATTTTTTATCGACTTATGGATTTATCATGGATGTCCGGAAGTGAATAAAATACAAAGAATATAATGATAATGTGATTAGTGAAAGTGCACTTTCTAATTGATAATTTATTGAGATGTGGTCCTTCGTAAACACTTAACGATATACATGATTATAAGCAGTAAGGTAAGTCGACATTATTGTTATAAATAACTAAATAGACACAAGTATTATCCAGAATATATAGCGTTAGTTTTACCACCTTGAGTAGATACCAAAATCAACATTTCCAGTTAAGTAAATAAACATGAAGGTATATTAACTGAAAAGATAGTAAATCTACCTACGCAATGACTTGAGCCGTTTGACCAGTATTTCATGTAAAATTCTAAAGGTAGAGTATAAATATTAGATATCATTTTCAACACCTAATTTTCATTAGGCACTGAAATGTTAGCAACTTCCTCAGTCACAGTCGTATTACATAATATAAATAACATGGACATCAAAGAACGTTGAAAACTTTAAATATTCTTATAGGTAAATTAAATATGAAAAGAACACATTTACATGTATCATAACTCTGTGATAATATCTACCTAAATTATTTGCATAGAGGAAGACAATTAATATTTTAATAAATGTATCACCCACTACTACATATACACCCACTACCAATTAATTACTATAATAACATAATGCTGCTAAAGGTGCGTTACAGAACTTATGTATTCACAATATTTTTAATTATACCTTAGAATCACAATTAGTATTTACCTACTACCTGCTTTTATATTTGTCGCCATAACGAATAGCAGCCGAAGTAAAAGCCTACCTAATATATAATGAGAAATTAAATATAGCAGAGGAACGAATAAAATATATGTACGTTGAAAATAAGTAAATGAGTAGTTTTTTTTATTTATGTGGTTGTATATTGGATCTCCTTTCAATACAGCGGTTGCGCTATCGGTGTACGCTCGCTAGTACCTATTAGGAGTGAAACTCAAATTATATACTCATTTACTTGTTATTTTGAACTACTCCCCATAAATCCAATCCGTTATCTCCTATTAATTTTAACGTCTTTCAACAACTTATTAATGAATGTTCAGAAATATTCTAAATTGTATTTTTATCACAGTTCATTTAATCAATCAGTTTGACTGCTCTATTAATTGCGCGCGCAAATTCGTTGTGTGAATACGAGTCTAAAAGTGGATTTAGTAGTTCATTCATTGGGCCAAAGGTGAATATGGAACCTCATTACAGTACATACATTATCAGTGGTAACACTAATCTTCATTTTTTACTCTTGCAATTTTTGACAGGAACAAACACATTGCTAATGCTTGTATGAAAATGATGTAGGTATAGGTATTTATTTATTTATTTTTATTTTAAATTTAAGAGACTAACAAAACTCGATAAAATTACAGGTAATGCGAGGTGACAAACCCAAGCTGTGTTTGCTGGTCGCAACACTAGCATTCGGGTATTCGTGGGCGGGAAGCAGTTGCGAGCGGAGAGTTACCTGGTGGGATCGTGAACGAAGCGCATGCGTGCCCTGCACACGATGTGACAAACACCTCGTGGTCCAACTCCCCTGCGAGCTACACAGAGACACCATCTGCCAGTCATTATACCAAATACATATATGGCCCTTCTTCGCACCCACCAATGACACCACAGACAATAGTGACCCTAGTGATTATGAATACGAATACTCGGACTACGATAGTGAAGTGAGAGACAACCGTGTGACCCAATGGGACTTGCAAACGTTAAGTGTTATACTAGCCGCTTCTGGCTGCATCGTTTTCTTCATAGTTGTATTATATTTATCGCTTTCTCATGCTAGGCAATGGAAAATACTCAAGCAGACCCTTCAGTCAGGTAAGAATGTGTATTAAATATTATTAAGTTACTAGCTGTACCCGCGTGCAGTTCGTACGCGTGGAATTTAACTTTATTATTCTAAATTAACAGAAATTTTCTAAAATAAAAGTAGCCTAAGTTACTCTTTATTACATCAGCTATCTGCCAATAAAAGTCCCGTCAAAATCGGTTCAGCCATTTCAGAGATTAGCCGGAACAAACAAAAAGACAGACAAAAAATGTAAAATTTATATTCATATGCATGTAGTAAAAAAATCAATTCGGTTATTTCAATATTACAAACAGACACTTCAGTTTTATTTATATGTATAGATTTAACGAGGTAGACTTTGAAAAAGTCGTCTGCGTGGATACCTCAGTCTGACCTATTTCAGCCGCCAATCACCATGCTTTCCAAGATGTATTTCGGATGACAGTATTAAAATTACGGATTAACAGACTTCACACCTTAGTCCTCCGGAATAACAATGGATAAGCTGTGAGTTGTTTGTCTACGGACAACGTCACATGATAACGTGATGTCCGTCGTCCTGTTCATGTTAGTGTATAGGCTACATACCACTTACTTACTCAGGTGGGCTCGTCAGCTCAGTTGCCATTCCAATTACAAATTAAGATTCATCTATTTTAGAATTCCATCACAGCTTAAAGAATTCCTTCTTCCTTCAGAACAAATCTACCCCTGATTTTAAATCGCCCTTATTATAACGATACATGTGTCCTTTGTTATATTGTTTGTGCTTCTTTTTTACTGTATGTTGCAAATAAAGTATATATTATATATAATAAGTATATTATATAATAAGTATATATATATTCTATCTATCTATCTATCTATCTATCTAAATCGCTGGACACAGGATTAGCCTACCAGATGGTTTAGTCTACGATTATTACTTATTACCTAAGCCAGCGTACCTAGCATAGGATTTTACTTTGCGTTTTCCTCATTTTTCTTACACTCGTGTATTTGTGCTTTTTGCGATGTACCGGAGTTGGAAATGAGTGGTGACACCATATTATTAATATACCTACTGGTGACAGAATGTATTTTTACTTCGTGACCACGGCTGTATATTTATAGGTACCTAATCAAAAGGGAGCCAACACAATTTGGGTAAAGTCTCTACTTAAATCGTGTTAATGACAAATGTGATACTTATTTATTCTTATTAGATATACGTAAAAAATGTCTGCAATAAAAATATAATGGGTAAAAATATTAGACCAATGGAAGGGAAACCACAGTTTTAAATTCTTGTCTCTGTCTGTTTGTATACATAACCGCGTGAAAAATACATAGGTATATGTATTATTAGTTAGAAAGTCCAAAATTAGAAGTCCATCTTAAAATAGGCCCTACTGTGTCGTAGGAAAACATCTTATTAATTGTACAAAAAACAAGAGCGAGTAGCCAGCAGATAAATATATATATATATATATATAATTTAAATAAATTACAGTATTGTTTATATTTAAATTATTACATTAATTTACAGTCCATACAAAGGTTGATTACCTTTTAATTCAGAAGATCCTTAGTTTAGGACCCTACAATAACCAACAGCAAATAACAGTTGGCGTTAGATATTTTTTCCAACCTAATTAATTCTTTAATAAACTAAAAATAATTAATAACGAGGTGCCCTAGTAACAAGCGAGTATCATTTATTATTTACATGTGCCATTTAAAATTTATAATAATAATATTCAAAGAAATCTGTACTTTTAATAATGAAGAACATCAAAGAACATGAGCCAGACGAGTCAATCAAACTTCTAACGAAAACAAACAAAACGTACATCAACTAGTTGGATGGATGTTTAATTTATTCTACCTCTATTGTGTATTATGATAGAAATGCCACTAATGTCGTAAATATTAAAGTTTGTATGTTATTGTCAATCAATGTTGAAACTTAACAGAATACATACAGATAGCTCAGACAGATATATACCAATTCTATTGTTTCTACAAAATGCCTTGTTATCCATTACGTACTGCTGTTGTCAATAATTTTAATTTTAGAACTTAAAAACTACTATGTAATATGGCCCAATTAAAAGTTAAAACTCTGAACCGCACCTACCAAATAGCTTGTAGCAAACAACAAACTTCAAACAAAAAATTGTTCATACAAAATCTTAAACCTATCAATGTGGAGCTAAATTGAGAATTGTTAGCAATTGCGTTAAATAATAACTAGCTACTCGCCCCAGCTTCGCACGGGTGTACATATATTATATATATAAACCTTCCTCAAGAATCACTCTATTAAAAAAACCGCTACAAAATCCGTTGAGTAGTTTTAAAGATTTAAGCATACCAATGGACGGACAGACAGCGACAGCGACTTTGTTTTATACTATGAAATGATTAGCGAATGGATTATCATATAATATAGTTTCATGGTAGGGTGTAAACAAAACTACATAGTTAATACGCTACATTTGAATTCTCTGCAAATGAAAAGTCATGGACAAGAAGTACATTATAATCAAGTGTCTTATGCTGTCTGAAGTTCAGTACAATTAATAATTTCTAATATACACATAGATATATCATATAATCATATAAATGAGCTCCAATTCTTACTAAATGAACGACTTCCATAGCGACAACATTGTTACGATGGTTGGCCGTGAAGTATAGACATAAAATGCCAATCTTACTCTGGGTCATAATTAGTTTTACCACATCCTAAAAATCTGTAATGACTGGCTATAACTGGATATTATATATAATAATATATATAATAATATCCAGTTATTGGAAACAACAAACATAATTAGATCGAATAGCCTATATTAATATATTCGTTACTCCATAATTTTATAATAGTTATCACAAATTTATACGATATAAAAATTTGTAGCATACATATAGTAGTGTGTATATGTGTAAATCTTGTAAATAAATTAATTACCTATATATAATTATATATATTATATACTTAAACACACTATTGTTATTGCTTAACTGATGTAAAAAATGCAACTAAATTTATTAGTAAAAAAAATATTCAGATAGAAAACTTATACGTTTATATTTTTATCACTAACTCTACCATCTAGTTCCGATAGGTTCTTTAGTTGAGGAACAAGTAAGGATAATAACTAGTACATTTACATTTTTTTATATCATAAAATATCTTTAAAAAAAGTGAATCTTGTGTATGTTGGAATTCAGCTCACTGGCAAAAAGTATGTGTAGGGAAGCACTTTTATGGTGTGATTTTACACATTTAGTGCGAAGAACTGATCACAACAGTAGAAGCTCCTTGATCTTCCTTTGTAGCGGTCAGTCTTAAACTATTATTATCCTACTACCATATTACGAAACGTGTTTCGACTATAAATGAGACGTATGCATACAATTAATTAATCAATAGGAGCTAAGACGCTCCGTGATAACCGTTTGATGAATACTGACGCCAAAAGGACTTAGATTTCTTTGTGAATCGAGGCTGCTCAACCAAGCCAGACGACTTCACTATAACCCGTAGGCAAACTATAAACTGGACCCTATAGAGCAAATTGAAGACATATTACACGAAGCTACTTGTTCATGATTTTAAAAACAACAACTATACTCCATAATATTTTAATGGGACAACTCTACCCGTACGTAAAGTAGTTTTAATATAAATAATAGGTAGTCCTAAACACAAATTTTGCCCTCTTTAATATAGTGTTCCTCTGACAATGCCAGCACCAGGAAACAGTAGTAGCGATGTTATCATACGTTGACAGGCTTGTTATTTATCCAAGTAAGCAATGGTACTGTTGCACGACACAGCCAGTTTGCCACGTATGGAAAAGATTTTTTTATATAATTAGAATAGCAATAAAGCTGACGGATCAGCCGATGGTAAGCGGTCAGCGTCGCCTATATACATGAACAGCACTACGACCATCGCGTTATCATGTGACACCCGAGAAACCACGAATGCATTGCCATTTCAGAGTACAATGATGTTCTATCTTGATATGTTACTACCTCAGCTATACTCTGAGATAAAAATACAGCTTACTGCTTGGCGGCAGATTAGGAAATGTCTATGTCTAATTAGGAAAATATTAAGTATCGATATCCATATCACAACATTTAGGTAAAAAAATATGTTTTATAGTTTTAGAGAACGACTCGTCATATTCGACCCCGTTATTAATGTACTTATGTAAACAATATTACCGGGCCTAATAATCCTACAATAACCACATTTTATACTTACCTCTACAAACTCTACAAGAATAATATTTATCATGTTACATCATTCAGAATATAAACGTTACCTCGATGATTTATTTATTCAGGACCGACGATTATCATCACCTCCACGTAGACGGTACTGCATTTATTACACATTATCCCAAACGACGACACTATAAGAATATTTTTAAATAGATATTTTCGGAAGTTGATAGCGCACAGTTTTCTTTATTCTACCTCGTCACAAAGCATATATTACCTAAATTAAGTATTTATTGCACTGTGTTAAAAAGTAGATTATTATTAATAGGAGTTTTAGAAATTTTCATAATGAAATAATGATTTTATTTCTAAGAACTATTTTGGTTTTCGTCTACAATTCCTAAATATAAAATCTGAAATACTGTTATTCTTTAATCTACAACTCGGTTCATCATAACGTGTAATGATGAGGAATTAATGATTCTCCTTTAGATATATGTAGTTTTAAAAGAATTTTCTTGAAAATAATTCTCGGATCCGATTTAACTTTATTATATACTCATCTTTTAAACAAAACATTGAACGAAAACAAGATTGTTTATAAGAATCACTCATCAGTGAAATTTATATGAAGTGAAAATCGTTATTGACCCAAAAAGGTGGGCGTTAAAGATCATAAACAGTGGAAACATCTTTTGTTATGAGATCTTTCATCATATTCTGTTAGTACGGCAATAAATCTAGGCGGGCATACGATCCAACACACGACGACGACTAGCGCGCGCCGGGCCTCGTGTAAGTAAACAATAAAGTTTGTTTGAACATGTGCGCTACTAATTTTGACCTGGCGTGTAGCGGACCGCCCGCGTAACAATAGCTAACGGTTTTTTCATTGCATTGCCTATTCCTAAATTAGAAGTATCATTAGACACAATTTAGACAGGTTTGTTAGATTCATTTGTAACCAAATATATCAGAGAAATACCAGGAATACAAGCAAGTTTCATATATTGTAGTTACATCGTCTATAGGACTAGCACAGAGCAGAGAAATAACTTACTTCTTTACTCTGCGCGTACTACGTACTGTCAGAAATCAATGAGAAAGAATACCTAATCTCATATTATAAGAACTCAAAGATAGTAGAAGTTATTGCAGTACATAGTTACAGAGTAAAAATATAATTGACAAATGAATCCTCTCGAAAACAATGCACGATGGGTACCATGGGTATCACATAACGTCGTGATATTGGTCAGTCATTATTATTATGCTGCTCACATACGCAACCGTTGCCATTTTTCATCAGACCGACTACGTATCCAATTTCTTATTATTTCTTACAGACATGAAGGACCTAACAGCGAAGATAAAGCTGATGGAAGCGGGCGGCGAACCTCCATGCGAACCACCAACACCCACCGATCATCACATCTATTGCAATATACACGTTGGCAAAGATGCACTCCTTGGTATGTTTATACATTACTAAATAATTTCAGCTAAATATCCTATTTCGCTGTTGGTTTATATATTATTAGTTAAATATTTGAAGCAGATAGATGGAAAAATCTGTAACGTAAAAAATAAAACATTTTACTGACAGTCAATTCACTAAACATGTTTTAATCCAACGTAGCAGTGGGCGAGTCTAGTCTAGTCATATTATCTTTAGCACGCACTATTGGTGAGCAGAGATTCGAAGTCATTAATTACCACGAAGTATTTTAGGGATAGATATTATACCTACTACTATTTAGTATTTTACGACTACAACGCTCATTTCTACGAATCGTGATAGAATTAATAGATCATATTCTCAGAAAATGAACCAGCGTTTGTTAATAAATTCTGTCTACAGCACATAACACTTTAGAGGGAGCTGCATGTATCTATAGCATTGTATAATTTTCACGAACCGTACCGGCACGGTTGCAATGAAACCAAAAGCATTCCTGAACGCCTTCACTGTACTCGTTCGCTTTTCGGATGGAGTGCGTAACCTTCACAAAGCGGTTCCGAAAAAGGAATGTTTACACGGTCATAACTCTCATTAACGTTGCTGAGTCTCGAAGATCTCTCTGGCGTGATGCCAGACAAGTTTAAAATACTGTCTCGCACTGGTAGCCGTTGTCTGGCGCCCGTGCCCGTTTCTTATTTATTTTCGATCGGCATCTCCCAGAGGTCATTTTAGCAATAAACTCTTCATCTGTAACGTCTATTCGATACACAAGTGTTGCCAACTCTGTCTTTTTTTAATCAACATCGTATCTAGTATATTTTAGGATCATTTGTCTTTATTTATCATGTGCAAATCGTATATCATCATCGTCTTGCCTCTATTCTTTTATTTGAAGTTGCGTAGGTGGAGATTCAGCAATTTCTACCTTCTTTTACATATAAATTATATCATTCACATAGTTGATGAATCGTTTATATTAGGATAAAGTAACAGGTTACTTATTCTATCGTGGGGAATTCATATTCACAGAGTACTTTACTAGAAATGAGGCCACTACAACCTACAACCTATTACTTACATCCATCTCCATCCCAATAACATCTTATCATAACTAAGAAGTAGGTACTAGTAATAAAATATTCAGTCCATGATAAATATACGTAGTGGACAAACAATTGCTCTGAGGTGGGTCAGATTCGTCCTCGTCGTAATCGAGGCCGAGGATTCCGTCACGTGTGTAGGATGCCGCTCAAATTTTAATGGACCTATCGTAACCTCGTTATCCTGAAGTACATATTGTTAACATACTATGTTGCAATACGCAATCACTTTCCAGCGCTTTAATAATGTACTGTTGCATAGTATATCAAGGCATCTGAAACTTTCTATAATAAATAACTTGAGAAATCATATAATGTGTACATCTTATTAATTATTAATAATATAAATGCGAAAGTTTGTGAGTATGGATGGATGTTTGTTACTCTATCTATACGCAGAAACTACTGAACGGATTTTGTTGAAACTTTACAGTGATATAGCTTGTACATCAGAATAACACATAGCCTATAAATTTCACGCGGGTGAAACCGTGGACACAGCTAGTATATCATACGGCAATCACATTCTCATTAAAGTATCAATCAAAAATTTAATTTTAATACAATGTGAAAAATTCTGGATAGTTATCAAATATCTTTGGACTACATACAGTACTATGACATAAAAATCAAACTGAGTCCTAAAGAATTTGATGAAGTTTATATGTTACTATTAAGTTATAGGCTACTCTGGAACTACTGGTCAAAAATAGATGAATATAATATGTGAATGTATTATGATATATTTTGTTAATAATCTCTTTTTTTATGAAATAGGTTAAATCATATTTGGAAACTTCATAACCAACTAAATATGAAGTAGACGTTTATTACATGTCTAGTATTATAACTTTTAGTTTTAGTTGGAAATCAGAATTTTTAAATACGATACTTACGATACTTATTTTAAATATAGAACTGTTTTTAAAGTAATCAAAATCTAGCGCAGTTAATAATGTTCACTACAGAAGTTTTGTCAACGCCTTTATACTCGTATGTCTGTGAATTATTGTTATTTCCTTACACTAATGTAATTCCATTAAATAAATAAATTTATATTTTAAAATTAAAATAATTGAAATCAATGGGGTTAAATTTGGTACACATCAACCAATTCGGTTATACTATAAGGTTTTGTGGACGTACAAATAAAATCAACGGCTCAGAATTTATTTGCACATCCACTAAACCTTTGTATAACCGATTACCAAATGATTATTATTAATTTTAAATTACAAAAACGATTTTTTGAAGGTTTTAGAATTGAGAAAGGGTTGTTGTTATGTCTTATTATTCGCCTGAATTATGGAATTTTCGATACTTTTCAAGAATAACAGTAGTAATATGTTGTTAATCAATACGAATAGAAACGCACGGGATAACTGGGAAGAACAGGTAATCGACCCTAGGTGTAGAATGCACGTGCGTTGATTAAGCGGGTTATTTGTAATGCAAGCTTGTCGCCAAGACGTCGACCGCTGCTGCTTCCGCCCCGTAGGGCTTCACTCGTACCGCCGGGAAGGCCAACACTTCCTGCTTACAACGAATTTTGACAATTAATAAACCCATCGATTGAATTGGGCTGTTGAACTTACTTGATTAGAATCACCGCTAAAAATATATTATAACATCTAAAAATATATTATAACATCTAATTTAACTTCGAAAAGCGAACTACATTTTTACTTTCTATTATGTTTACCAATCATCCGGCATTGAACTGGTACAATTACTGGTGATATCTCTTTCTAATTTAATTTTTTTTATGTAATTGTATATAAAAAATCGACCAAGTAGTTTTACCCTCCTCTCCGATTGATCTCCCAATACAAACGGGGATCGAAATTACGACGCCGAGGTTCGAACCCCTAACAGTGCCTTAGACCAAGGTTGTATTCGTCAGGCCAGAGTAGGCCTTCAGCCGTTTCATAAATCCACGATTTGAAGTGCTATCTGCACTCGCCCCCTATCATCTGATGAAGCTGTAAAGACCAACTACGGCCAAAAGCATTAGAGTAGTCCGAGAAAACAAGTATTTTTTTAAATTTTTTACTTACGAAGAAAAATATAAGCCTAGTGTACAGTGTTTAGAATTTTAGAATGTGGTAGAGTCACGGAATAGAGTTCTACATGCGCTCTACATAGAGCAGCTACATGCAATTCTCGTTTATAACAGATTTAAATTGACGGCATGAGTAGTATTTATAAACCATTTACGTATGTAAATGGTTTATAAATACTACTTTTACGCAGTTTTATGCAGTTCTAAACTGCATTTATTACCTTAATGGTCCTTGCTGACAGTTACCTTTCTTCGCTTATGCTATTGGAGAAATTGGGAAAACCATAATTATTATTTGAAATTATAATATTCGGTATCTACATTAAGCACTAGCTGACTTTTTTCTTTGAAATAGAGAGCACAAAATTTTAAGTATAACTAACCACAATACATTTATTTTCCACTTAAATTAATTAGGTAAGTTGTTTCTGAGGTTATCGCGTATAGATAAAAATTCTAGCAATCATTGCTTTTGGTTCAGTTACATTGATCAAAATGAATGAACAGAGTTATTTATTACAATCAAAATAAAGCAATCAATGGATTAATCATTTTAGTATATTGATAGCAATGTGCTATTCTACGCGAAATTTATAACCACATATATATTATCTTTAAAAATATTCAATATTACATAGGTATTGTGTATACCTTACCTATGCATTTGTACTAAGCAAAAGAACTTGGAATTTTCCACGAAAACGCAAAACAACAGTTTTCGTATATTCGGTGTTTTATGCTTCCTTCCAGTTATAAATAGAAAAAGTTGCAAAAATGTAAGCGTTTATGAAAAAGTTATGTATATATATACTGGTGATGCGAGAGATTCACACAATCATAAAAAGTAAGCGTGGGTGTCAGGTCAAAAAATTTCTCAGAACAGTCCGCTAAACTAGCATTCACGTAAACACGCAGAGAACATTAGTCTCATATAGTCACGTAGATGATTACGTATAGGATAGCATGTCGAATGAAACGGTCTAGTCTATATGAAGTGTAAGCTTTGATATAGGAGATAGATCGTAGAATCTTACATAACATTAAAATCTATAAGTTTCATTTAAATATGTGTTTACGGGAAAAAAAATATTAGATATATTAAATGACTTAATTCTGTAGACTACTTGATGTTATACTAGTACAGTATTTTAAATGTGGCGGACATTTGAATAACTTAGATTTTGATGGAATTCTACTTAGAATTCCATCAAAATCTAAGTTATTCAAATGTTCGTTTATAATAAAAAAATACTATTAAAAATAGTTATGTCAAATGTATTTGTTTAAAAATATTTTTATTTTTATTCGCTAGAATATTTCTCATTTACAATATAAAGTGAATTGACACTTCTTTAAACATGACATATAGTTATGTTTAAATAAATTATGGTTGGTTTTATTGTTAAAGAATCCATAGTAAAAGTAGTAACAACAATCAAATGACCGCGCCGTGCTCACGTTCAACGTGACCGGACTAGAGTGCAGCTGTAGTTTACATATCTGACTGGAAAACTTTGTTTCCATTACATTTTTATATAAAAATGCTTTGTAAATAAAAATATTATTTTAATATTTTTACTAACATAATTAAATAAATAACCCGTGTTAAACCTGATAAACTTTCAGCTCTTGGTACAGTTTGGGAATTCATTCGTGTGAACATTTACGATCTATCCTTTGATTAAAGTAGCTACATTGTGTACATATAATTTAAAATAATATATATTGTAAACACTGTAATTTTCATAAAACTACATCGAAGTCTTGAAGACGTCTATTACAAACTTAGCTCTCCGTTCTCGTCCTAGTCCTAGTCCTATACCTACACTTACATGAATATGTACGTTA